AATTAGACATCATACTTCACCCAGCCAGCACATCAGCAGGCACAGTGGCCAAACATGTGTCAGGACCTGTTATGTCACCTGAGACTATGAGGGATAATGTGTTTGAAGAAGCGTCAGGTGTGAAATTTCAGCCAGCTGAAAATAACCATCTTGTTTTTAGTGAAGTGAAGGAGATTCAGGAAACAGTGAGCTCGGCTTAAGGGTTGTCAGGGAAACGCATGAGGCCTGAACACGTCAAGTGGACCGATGCTGACCAAAAAGCTTAAGAAGTTGCTTTTTGAATAAATTTTTAAATGATCTCTGTAAAGAAGAGCAACACGGCAACATTAAAAAAGTTGTCTCTGAAGCACCAAAACCCTCTGGATTTTTTTAAATTACGATTTGCTGCACAGATCACTCAGCTGTGCCAAAGTTTCAGCATTTCTAACAAAACTTTTTTTATTCGTACTGCATGCTGTCAGTTTACAGCTTTGTTTTAAAAATCTGATAGACTGATTCAAACAAAAACACTAAGGTCTAACACCCCCCACCCGCACCCCAAGTCTGTGCAGTTACCCTCCATAAAATACAACCACTAGATGCGCCGGGCTGGAACGCATTAGGCAACGCCAGCATCTGCATATTGAATTTACAGCTTTCAATAAGGTGCATTTCAATGAACACAGACGCAGCAAAGTATGCAAATAAGTAAAATGATGAGGTCCAAACCTGGGCTCATATCCCCCACAGCAACATCCGTCCACTGCTGCTGTTTTTAATTTATCTCCTCTGAATAAAATGATAAGATTTAATATCTTGTATAGTTTTTAAAAATACATTTCCTTGCATTCATTTCCTGGTTGTGTTCATTTAAATGACAAACACAAATGTCATCTTTATGAATCTTTAACTCATGCCTTCATGTTTGTTTACTATCATCCTGTAAGTGTGGTTCATTCAGATGTCAGCTTCTTCCATAGCTGCGCTGAACTCTTCATTCATTTAATGCATTCATTGACTGTCATCATATTTTGATTTTATGGTTCTTTGCTGAATTCCAACACTAAAATTATATTCTGCAGCAGCAACAACCCCATATTCCTGCAGGGTTGATTAAAATTTCATGCTATCATTACGTAAGCATAAACAGTGAAACAGCCATGAGTTTGAATAGATCAAAGCGTGTGGCCGTCAGCGTGCAAGGTAACTGTTGTTGTGGATTTATTTTCATTTTTCTTCGAAGATTTTTCGATTTTGGTGGAACAGCAGGCCTTAGAGCTCAGCTAGACTAAATATGAAACGCTGGGCACATTCATGATTAAACATTTATCAGTTTGATACACTTACTGAAAAAGAAATAAAAGTGAATGTTGTAGATTTTGTTTCTCTTTGTCTAGCCATGCTTTCAGCAAATTAACAATGAGAAAAGTGATGCATTTGCCTTGTTATGTTTAACATATTTAATCCTAACTGAAGTTATTGGAGTTTTTTAATTATGAACTCAAGTAAGAGCGAGCAAACAAGAGCAAACAGATTCTGAAATGTTTTCAAGTCTGTTTTTGATCAAGTTTACATGGCATTTAAACTAGGAGTGGGAATTTAACAAGTTAATTAAGATTAATGGATTAGAAAAATTTTAGAAAAAAACTATTTAATGTTAGCATTAAAATGTATGCCCTATATATATATCAATAATGTAATCAAGTTGCACCTCTAAAACTGCAGAGCCTGGGCTACAAGACCATTTAAATGTTTTTTGCATGCTTGAAACATAACTAAAACTACAAATATATTAATCGTGAGACATCACTTTTCAAAAAGAAAAGAAAGGAAGAAAAAAATCTACCTTTTTACTGTTATGTTTTCTAGTTGGCAGAAAGCAGGCAGGCAGTCATTTTATCAATATGGACTTTATTACAGCAGGAGGGACAAGCATACACATAGCATTCATCTTGTAACGTCAGCAGAACTTCCCCTGAACTCTACACTGCACCTCTATATATGTTAGTAGTGTTCTGCTGCCATCTAGTGTTCAGTGCAGTACACAACATTTACAATGTTCCATGTCCATTTACACTTCGTCAACAACAAATATACTAATATTTATGCATCTCAACAAATCCCACGATGGTTACCTTTATGAGACCAAAGTAAATCAATAGACCTTGTGGTTACAGAAATATATTCATTAAAGTGTTTATTTAATCTGTGTCTCTCTAACATTATATTTAACACAAAACATTAATTGAAGACAAATTGTCTTGAACGATTAAAATGTGATAAATCAAGATTAATTAATTACAAAGCCTCTGATTAGATTCACTTAAAATCAAATCCCACCCCTAATTTAAACTTTTACCACGCTATAAACCCTGTAACACCAGCACCTCATTCAGAGAATCCTGTTTGATGAGATTGGTAAGCGTGGGACTTTTAGAAAACAGCCTCTGCAGGTATAATTCAACCGCAAATTATTGCAGCATTCATTTGAGACGGCTGCCAATAGCATTACACACAAATCATAATTTACAGCTTGTGGCTATAAGGAGAGACTCATTTAGTTTCCCTGCTCATTAGTTTATGTGGATGAGGAAGAAGAACACCTTCCATGTCCAGTTTTTATCTCTTTAAAAGCTTCTTGAATCCGTTCAGACTTACTTTTGATTCAGACTTATAGTGTTGGACAGACAGATGAAATGTGTTCAACACATTAGTGTCAATTTCAGCAACATATTATTTCCATTTGAATCAAATACAACAATAATTTAATTTAAAGCCACACAAAACGTAAACCTTCTCCGAGGCCTAGTGGTATGGGTGTCCACCCTCAAATTGGGATATTTGGGTTCAAATCATACCAAAGACTTTAAAATGGGGCCCCGATGCCTCCCTGCTTTACACTCAGCTTTAAGGGGATGGATTGGGGAGTTAAACCACCAAATAGTTCCTGAGCACAGCCACTGCTGCAGCTCACTGCTCCACATAGGGATGGGTCAAACGTGGAGATGCAATTTCACCAGTGTGTGATGATGACTACGGGGCTTTGATTTTAAATAAGTTTTCCAATACTTTGATGAAAGTTGAGTTACAACTATCGTAAACAACCCTGTCGCAGCCTGCTGTATAGCGCTAACAATGAACTTACGCTAACACAAGCCAACTGATATAAAGTTAGCCACGAAGCAAAAAGCTCCACACTGTGGGACAAAAATTATTATTGCAGCTTACAAATCCAGTAGAAACAAAGCTATCTTATTCTTGTGCTTTTTAGTTGACAAACTGAAAAAAGCTAATTGCTAGTCTTTAGCTCAGTGGCCTGGTGGGATGAGTGTCTGTCCTGGGACTGAGAGATCAGTGTTCAGATCGTGGTTGGGTCATACCAGACACTGAAAAAATGGGACCCGATGCCTCCCTGCTTCACATTTGGTTTTAAATGGCTGGATTGGAGGGTTAAACCACCGAAACGGTTCCTGAGTGTGGCTGTGTCTGCAGCTCACCACCTGAGCCCGGAGACACAGCACATGGGCTACATACCAATAATCTCTGATGTTTGACCAAACTGGTTTTCACCCACCAGATTTTAGACTGGAGGCCAATACAATAATTACACTACATTTCTGCATTCAAACCAGTTCTTATGCAACCTGACTTAATGAACTTACTAATGAACTTAAATGACTTCAATAAACTGAAATACATGTATTTCTTCAATTCTGCTAGCAATACAAAACTGTTTAACCCATTATCCTAAAAGACAGACTGATGACAATGAAAATGTGCTTTTAATCATTTTTGGAGGTTTTTATCCACCTGTAGCAGATGTTCAATTGAACACTGAGCTTATGGTTTTGAGAAAGAGTTGAAGAGTTGCGTTCGGCTTCTGCTGAACAGAAACACTAATTTATACACCATGAAAACCAATTTACACCCCTGCCAAGAAGCGTGGTGTTATTTAGTCTGGCCAATCAGTGCACTCAACAAGAAACGATTAATAAAACAGGAAATAAAGGCACCAGGGGTGGTAAGTGGCAAGTGTTAGCATGATTAAATAATTAACAAGACAGAGCAGAGAAGAGGGATCAATCCGAGCCAAGGTTTATTTCTCTCATTGATTAGTTAAAATAATTAAAGAAATAGAAATCACTTTATTAATTATAGTGAAAGCTGATCACTCTTGTGGGCAGACTGGTGAAAGGCAAGAGCTTAATGGCTCCTATTCAAAGTGAAAAGGAGATGTGAAGTGATGAAGTCGTGTGTGTTTGCCTCCAGCAGCTTGTCATCTAAAACACTGATTATTCAAACTGCCTTCTACTTTACTGTCAAACTCCTTGTGACTGGAGAAAACTGATAAATAGGTTGTGTTTTATCAGTTTCTTTTTATCCTAGGGTTGAATAGGAAAAGGTGTGAGCAGTAAGTTAAAATCAATTATACAAGCAGTACATACATTATTCAGACTCTCATAACTTGTCAAACTTCTCTTCTTTCTCCTGCAGCAAATTAAATCTTAATTTTTTTAGGAGTGTTTTATTATTTCCTCCCTTCTAGAATGTGTCGTGCCACGTCTCTTCCTGGGCTCTGTGGAACTGAATGAGAGATTTATTTTTCCAAAATGAGAATTTGGTCCACTTAATAATTAGCAGACCTTGATTAAAGTCTGTTTGTGCAGAGCTGTAATAATGTTGCCTGCTCTCTCACTGAGCATCTCAGTATAAATATTTGGCAGAAGCCTGATGCAATAGTTTTGTTACATAGCAGGTACTTTGCTACTTGACTGTATGAATATGATGTTTTATTCCATCCTTAAGTAGACTCAGAGCATTTCCATTAACTTGTCTTTTTCAATTCCATTTGGAATAAGACATCCTGCAAGGAAAACCCATTAAAATTAAATATAGTTGTATTTTGTAGACGATATAAATAAAATAGTTACTGGAAGATAATGTGCAGGAACAGAGGTCTGCCTGAAAAAAAATCTGTGTTTGTATATGGCATGCTCTCCAAAATAAACGCAGAATCTTACCTAAAAACAAAGATCTCCCTTCCATTTCGTTCTTCTTTCCAAAGAAAAGGAAATGTGCCGGTAGAAACCCACGTCCGCCGTCCTATCCCCTCGCTTTCCTCCCCTTTCCTGGGAGAGACGGAGAGAGAATGAGAGAGAACTGAAGGGGGAGTCAGGGTTATACCAGGTTACTTACACCAATCGGACTAGTTCACGATTAATGTCCTTAATGTCCAATAATCCTTATTGAATAGACCAAGTTTAATTTATAACTGAAGCCCAATTTATATATTAAAATGTATGCGTGAAAGCGTTTGAAATCGTTTTTTGAATGCTTTGAAATTTCACAGGTAACCTACTTGTTGCCGCATGCACGGCATAACAAGCGGCCATAACCTGGAGTCCTGCCTTCATAACGAGCGACTGCACTGCGGGTCGGATATTTATGACTCACCTGTGAACAGAGCGTGCACACACTGCCATAAACCTCTGTCACCACTGTTAAGAGTGGATTTTTGTCCCCACTCACACAGAATAAATCTATGAACTTCGGTATACAAAACGTGTCATAAGAATTTACTTAAATGAGGGTGAATGGGCTATGGTAATATTTAAATGAATTGGAAGTTGTCACCAAGTAGTCCTGCATGTGTGCATATTGTGGGATTTTTCTTCTGTAAAATACATTTATACCACAGGGGGGTAGTAAACGCACATTTTTTGTCCAGATGAAATAAATAACCCTGGCCAGTTCTACGCAGATTAAACACGGCGCGCAGTGTTTGCCGGTGTTGTGCCATAAATCGACTCACTGCCAAAAAATGAGTAGCTTAGTTTTTTCCAGTTCGGACGTTGTTTTAAGTGTTGCTATTTGTCTTAAACGTTCACAATGAGAATATATTAATCCTTTTTGCAATATTTGCGATTGAAAGATGGTTTGTGGTAAGAACTGGCTTTCTTTATGTTACAGCCTTGATACAAAAAAATAAATAAACAATGTAAAATGGCGCCCTGTATTGAATGTAAACGTTGTATAAATGTAAATAAACAATTCTCCAGCGATTTGATTTTTTCCCCCTTCCTTTCTTTAGTGGCTAATCATTTTTTGGCAGCGAGTCGATTTATGGCACAACACCGGCTTTAATTTGTGTCCGACTTGACGCCGACTTGTTCTGACGTCATGCCTACGTAGGCAACGATTACCTCGTGAGATCAAGGCAGCCGCAGATTTTGGAGCAAGGCGCTGCAGTTGTTCTCCACCGGCTGCAAAACCTAGGGCATGATGGGAAACGCCTGGCACTCACCTGATTTAAGTTCTGATTGGTTCACATTTTGATCCAAACATCCGGTGGTTGAATGCAAAATGTTAGTTGGTCACATGTATTCTTTAAACCATGTAACGTTGATGATGACAACTATATGGGCCATAGAGAGGAATGTGGTTTGTGTTCTTTTGTCACGTTTTCTATGAGCACACTAAAGCTACAGCTGATAAACTTTACTTATTATTACAGTCAGGTTTCCATATGCAATACATGATATCCACAAGCACATGAGGATGTGTTTCGGTTGCTAACAGGCACCATAATTAAAATAAATAATTAAACAAGTATGAACTCTAACGCGATATCTTCATTCATCGTACCCGCGAGCTACACACGTAGGTAAATATGTCCGATTTATATGCCGACTTTACACTGCCACTCCCCCTGCTGCGTCCGTCTGCTCTGTTTTCCAGGCGAGGCGCTGCTCAACTTGAACTAGGCCAAAAAGATTTAAAGCGTTAACCCTTTGCCGTCATTTTATTTTTTAAATGACCTGGACAAAGTAGAATGTCGTACATTTTAGGTATATATTTTTATTTTATTTCTTTATTTAAAAAATTGTGTCAAATGCATAAATTGTGTTGTGTAAATTTTTGATTAATCAGGTATTAACGCGGTTATTTTTCTAGTTTAAAAATGTGACGTTTCAACACAAACGTGACGTCGGCCAACTATCGCGATATTTTGATTTCAGTTACCTACTACTCGTCCTGGGTTCTCCAGTTTCACCGTTGAGAAACATCAACATAGTAACCCGGGAAAGGAGGCTTCAGCGAAGCGGCTGTGAACATTATTTTAAAAGGAATCTCACCGCTAATTTGGCTATGTCGTTTTCCGAGAAAAGTCCGTAACATTGAATGTATTTCTCAACAAAAAGTTGAAAGTTTAGTTGCTGTTTCGCCTCGATAACATAGGTTAGCTAATGTTAGCCGGCTAACGCTAACGTTAGCAAACAGAGGGTTTAGCAAAAGTGAAACAGAATTCAAAAGAAGTTTGGAGTTTATCATGATATGGACATTGGTGTAGATGTGGGCATCTAAACACACCGAGTCGTTATCTTACAGGTACGTGGTAAATGTCATGTCAAAGAGTTGCTAAGCTAAGTTCCTTGCATCTAGCAATAAGAACTACCGAGTTGGCAGCGGCACCGACTATTCCCTGGCCTTCATACATGCCAGAATAAGACAAGTCAGCTGTTCTAAAGCGTTGTAACTGTCTGTGTGTCTTTTAAACAAAAAACTTAATTAAAACATACAAAAATACTAAAACGTAACGTCAAACAATCTCAATATATCCGTTAATGTACACTTAATCTTTTTGAAACTAGTTATTTTTGTCTTTTTGAAAGAATGAATAATTCCTGGACGTCACATTTTATGCTTCCCGTTCATTTTCTGGTGTATGCTTTTAGGCCAGGTTGTGCTAGAAGGGACATTTGTGGTTTTGCATTGCAGTGTTAGATGTCTCTTCATGGGTGTTCACCCAAATGTTTTCTCAAGGAGTCACAACGTCACTTAGCAAACATTGTACTTCTGTTAGATGTTATTGAACCTGTTAGGGCGTATGAAGTCAGGGAGGCGAGTTCCTTTGTAGTGGCTTTGTAAATCAACAAGGCTAAATGAAAGTAGGAAGAAAATATTACTTTTCTATAGATTTACTAATCCTCTAAGTGAGGGTTTATTAGTTTGTTATTCCCCAGTGCTTTGCCATTAAGTTATATTTTAGTTGTAAAAGCTCACTGTGTGATAAAACAGCATTGTGACTTCAATTTAAATACTTTAAAGGTGTCTGTTTCTTTGGGTTTAGGGTGTCATGGATGAAAATGTCTAGGTATGGCAGCTAGTTATTGTTGGTGAAATACTAGAGCAAGACAGTTTGAAGAACTCATATTTCTGTTAATTTTATTAATTTTCTCTTTCTTATTCATCTAAACAAATGATTGAATCAAATTAACCTACTGCTACTCTGCACCTTTTAGTCAAAACATTTTAGAGATATTTAGATACATTTTGAACAAATCAATTTCCTGTCTTGAAATGTCATCAAACAAAGAGTCTGTGGCTGTAATTCACACATGACAATCAGCTAGAAGTAGATTAAATAAAAGCAGAGCATATGTTAAAGAGGCTTTACTTTCCCTAATCTGTAGTAGAGAACATATTTTTTTCCTTTATAAATCTGTGAAGGATTTAGACATTTCTGTAATTTGTTCATCCTCTTGGCAACCAATAAATGCTTGACTGGTCAGCGTCACTCATACAGAACTGTTTAGGTAAGAAATTCAAACTCTGTAACCATGGATAAAACATTAGCATGATTCCATCAACAACCGCTTTAGAGAGCTGGTTCTGGGGCTGTCTTTTGGCTTCAGTGGTGTTGCTTTAGTTTCCAGACAAGTGTTTTATAATGCTGGCATGTGCAGATTTCAGTCAGCTCTTTTTTAATTTATTTTTTTTTACAAAAGGAAGTTCATGCTAGCTTATTTAGAACGTCAAGGGAGGCAACCACAGTTAGTTTTTCACTTTGCGTTTACCTATTTAACGTTTAATTTTCAACACGGTCCTTTTAACAGCATTTATCTTTTTTTTTCTTTTTAGACTGTTTAGATTTGATCTCTCTGATTTACATTATGAAAATGAAACTAACTTGTTACCTGGTTTATTAGGCAGTATGAAGTCTGCTGTGTGTCATCTTGATTTAAAGTGTAATTAAATTTATCAGCAAATGACTAAACGGAGACAGCAAAGTTGGTTGGAAAAATATTTCTTTCTGTTTCCGTCACCCTCATCATGATTGTGTCTTAAGTAAAATGCACAACTCACACAACGTTTTTTTTTTTTTTTTTTTTTTTTTTGTTTTAACAACTCTTAGCATGAGACAAGTACTATAGTTGGTCCAGACATGTGACTTCATAGTTACAGGTGCTTTCAGTAAACATAACTTTGCTGAGGTGTTAGATGAGCTTCCCACCCAGGAAAGTTCTGTAGTTAAGGGCACAGCGGCATTTTTCTGTTGGTATATAAGTGACTTTTGTTTCACCGCATACTTCCTCAAAGTTTTTATAAAGTTATTATTTTTATTACATTTATTTACTTTAAAAATGTCTGGCATTGACTTATGCTGTAGCTCATTTTTCTCAACTCTTGCCTCAAATGGCTTTTTTTGCTTTTGTTTTTGCATTTAAATATTTTATGTAATGTTTTCCTTTTACACTGTATTTAAATGTCATCTACCCGATTTGTACTTTTATGTTTTTTATAGTTGTAAAGTTACACTTTTCCCAGGTTTTAATAAATTTTACGGTCTTTGGCTGCAGGTGAATGGGAGAGATGAGGAGCTGCAGGAGGACTGAATCATCTCTTAAAAGCTCTGCTCAGCTGTTAACTGGTCACAGTATTAACACAGGTGTGTAGAAAATCGCTGCTCAGGTGTTTTGAATCCTTGAAATGCTTAATGTTTTAATTTAAAAATATTACTGTAAATGTTATTTTTTACCCAAACAGTAAAATTCTGGTCAAATTTAAATCTGATTTGTAAATGTCGATTTTCTTTTTGATTTACAAGAGCTGACAGCTGCTTGGAAAAGTTTGGCTCAGTCCAAAGCTGCTGTAAGTAAATCTAGGAATTTTATTTTGTAATTATTATTATTTTTTTTTACAATGTTCAGAAACTGTTGTCATTTAACAGTCATGGGCTCGACACACGGGAGGCGACATCGCCTCTCCATTCATTTTCAATGAGACATGCGCGACAAAGCGATAATCACGGGTCTCTCTCCTACCAAGCGAAACACGAAAAACGTGCATGTGAAATTTTGCGCTCGTGCACGTGTCGTGCATAGGCGACCCAGCGACGCGATCCCAGAAAGTTGAAACATTTTCAACTTTTCATCGCTGTCGCTCGGACGAGGACCAATCAACGGAGGTTTCATTCACTGACCAATGAGCGGACAGGATGCTCCATACACCTCCGAGCAAACATGGATGAGAAGTTGATTATTATTATGTTTTATATAGTAAAATCAGAAGTAAGATTTCACATAACTCTAGCAGCACCTTGTGAAACATCATATCTACCACTTTTTTAACTCTGAACTGCTTAAATAACCTTAATTCCTTCCATCGTGACACGGCCAAACAAAGCAACGGAAGTTTCAATTTCGCCATGGAACAGACGGCTTTTCTGCTGGCCGCTGCCGCGGGTCGCCTCCCGTGTGTCTGGTAATAAAAGCGACAGCGACAAATTTAGCTGATCACGGTCGTTTGTCGCCTCCCGTGTGTCGAGCCCCTAATGGTGAAATAAAATCAATATTTCTGTAACATATTCTTAAAAGCCTGACATGTAATATGCAGCTGCGACACATAGAAAACCATTTAGAAGCCACCCCAAGAACAGGGGTTGTTCTGGACTCCGTTGAGGACTGCCTCAAGGAAAAATCTTCCAGCACAACCTGCAGAAGAGGTGAATCACTCTACAAATTTGAACACACAACACACACAATTAGAGGTTCGGTAATGAAGGATTATCTGTCCAGATCTGAAAACTGTCACTCTTATATTGGGATTATTAAAATGACCTGTATTACTATAGATGGCCAAGTTGATGCCTCTTCAAAAGTCAGAGGTGGAAATCAACAGAGTCCAGCAAAAAGCAGCTCACGCAGCCCCTTGAGAAATACCACCCAGGACAGCAATGTACGGAAGAACAGCAGCGTGGAGTTCAGGGAACCGCTGGCATCTTACAGGTACATGGTTTTAGTCACATTTGCACAGGCACTTAACTATGCTTAGATGAAATAAATTATTGTGAATTTGTGCTGGTTTAACATCATCTGTATGCTGCTGAATGGTTGTCTTGTGGGCCATTCCCATCTGTACCGGGTCGGCCCGGGCCGGGTAGCGTAGGTTGTTTACATATCTGGGTGGCCTGGTATTTTTCCGGGCCAACCAAGGCTCATTCTCAGCCCTCTTCTCGAGGGGGTCTGCTTCAGGCCGACCAGGGCCAACACACCCACTGCTGACAGCAAATTCACACCTTCCATTAGAGCAAGCCTCTGATTGGTGGGTAGAATCAGCCCACATGGGCTTAAGGCAAGGATGTGTGGAATCAACCGGGCCAGGCTGGGGCCGACCGGGGCTACCCAGCCCGGGCCGACCCGGTACAGATGGGAATGGCCCATTGGCTGCATGTGAGTAACTGTTCTGTCAGGCGCTCTGTTGCAGCAACTCAAATAGCAACACTCTGGTTTTAACTGCAGCATTGTTTGAGAAAGAAGTTCAGATGACCTAATCTATTAACACTAAAGTTTAAATAGTAAAAAATGGATATGTGGCAAACATGGTCAGCCAGTTGGATTAAGGTGAGTTTTTACTGAACAAGCAGGTTTATATAGTTCAAGATTAGGAAACTGTTGCACAGAATCAGTGGTTGGTTTTGCTCTAGTCAAAGAGAAACTGGAAAAATAACTGCTCGTTGTTATGATTAGTAAACAACCCTGCTGAGATGGATGGTTCTCGAACATTGAAGCAAAAGACCAGGCATGTTTATCTGGTTTTCTTTCAGACTGAATGTGTAATCACATTCACAAGTTTTTTTTAATGTAAATGTAAGTTGAATCAAAAATTTAACCGATGTAATACAGCATTTAGAATTGTTCCTGCAACATTTTTGGGAAACTGCTTTGACATTAGTTGGGGGTTAGACACCAAACATTCAGAGACATGACCTTGGGTTGAAACTAATCTCTATGAGAACTGACACGTCTGTGTTTTACTAACAGTCTCTTAAGGGTTTATGGATCCATTAACCTAGATGGTAGAAGTATTTGATTATAGTTTATTTCCAAATATGTATGCTTGCAGAATCCACATCACATTTTAATGTTTTTCTTTGCATAATTAAAATTTGCCGTTTTGTCGGCGAGGTTATTGAAAGATTTGCAACATCTTAGGTTATAGATTCTAAAATCTTCATTTGATCAGTTTTGGATATTTTCAATATTCTTGTCGGTAAAACATTTTCTGTTTTTCTGTTGACTGTGGCCGTTCCGAAGTCTGTACCTGAGTAAATTCACTGAGCAGTAAATTAAGAGTAAATCTTTTTCCTCTTCTTGATCCCATGTAATCGGGTTCAGGGAGGCCACCCCTCCTTCACATGCCCTCTCTCAGCTGGAAGCCTACAATCTGCAGTCTGTGCCAGGGTCTTCATACACATCCTCTCCGCCTCACTCAGATCGTCTGCCCAGCCAGCTGCTTTACCAGAGAGAGGCCGGGAACAACCAAATCGACAGAGACCTGGACAGTACTCACTCCTCTGCACTGGAGTATGATGAGGTTCGCTATCTCAATGGCCAGTCAGCTCTGGACATCCTAAAAACAGAGGAAAACGCTCGCAAATCACAACTCGTTATGGATGAGTCAAGCCCATGCATAGGACCTACTCCGGGCTCTTCCCGCCGGGGGGAAAGTACGCCTTCTACCAGTCCTGGCTCTGCCTCCCAACGGTTGGAAAACCTAAAGCGACATCAGCCAGATGGTAAATTGGAGAAGCTCAAAGAGCGCATCAGAAGGCAAAGAAAACATCTAGAGGAGGCAGCTGAGAGGGAAAAACAGCAGGGTCAAGTTGAAAAGCCCATAGCTGCAGCTGTGGAGACTGACAGCGCCGGTATGAGCACCATGCCTATAGTCAAGATCCGTAAAGTAGCAGCTGCACCACCAGCACCCATTTACAAAGGTAATTTGTCTCAAGTAAATTCCTCATGCTTAAACCTCTTGTAATGTGGTTGATATTAAATGTGCAATGATGGGTGTTTTTAGGAACGCTAATTTGGGCTGAATTATTAGAAACAGCCACTCTCTAAACTTTGTTCTCATCCACAGGCTTCAACAGGGCTGAGACAAAAATACAGACACCTGATGGAAAAGTCTGGAGTGAACAGGATTTCCAAAACCTAAGCAGAGACATATCCCGTCATTTTCCTGGTAACTATGCAGTAGGATACTCATTCTCTTTCTTTTGTACGTTCATTCTGTGAATTTTGTCAACTTGCCTTGCTTTGTTCTTTTAAAACACAGAAAAAAGGGTTGTTCTTTACCTTGTTCTGCTAACGTTTCGGCTAGTTAAAGTAGCCATCTTCAGATCTGTGCCAATGTTGGTGGCATCACTTCCTTCTCCGTTTATCTGCAGGCAGCAGAGGACGGTGTCACCCTCTGCTGTCAACGCCCTCCTCATCGATGGCACAGTGCCATGCGTAATCTAATGTGTAGACCCCATCATCTCTGTGGTTGTGTCCACGTCTCCTTATTTGTACTTCTTCTTTAATCCATCTTTTAAATTTCTGTTGTTGGATGTTTATGATCCTTGTTCTGTCCCAGTCCATTATGTGATTCTCCCTTGTGCACCGTTCTGTTACGGCTGATTTCTTTATTGTACTTTCTGCTTCTTGTTTAGCTGCTCTTGTTTGTCTTTGGTTTGTTTCCATGCCACACTCCTTTCTGTGTTCTATTGTTCGTGTGTTGAATTGGCGTCTGGTTTCCCCCGTGCGTGTTTTATTTCAGAGTTTGCATCGTATTTTGTAAATGACTCCACATTAGGGCTGGGCGATATCATGGCCCAAAATCAATATCACGATATATTGAGGATTTCACCTCGATAACGATAACTGGACGATAACTACAGGTATGCGCAGAAACAAAAGTTGTACACGAGATGGAGCTGTCACATGTATTACGTTGAGTCACATTTTTACGTGACTCAAGGTGGTTCAGCTTCTTAAAGGGACGTGAACGCTGCCAACCTACACACATCTTTTCATTTTTGTATCAAATTTATTGACATGGAAAAAATGATCTCAATAAGAGTCAGAAATTTCAGTAACGATCCATTTTCGATTTATTGCCCAACCCTGTTCCACATTGTTGTCCTGCTGATATCTTGTCCTTTGGGTGTACTAGTCTTTTTCTAACTGTTGTGTATGGTTTTGTTGGTGTGCTTATGTTGTGTTTTTTTCATTGTTGCTATAATTATTATTTTCTTCTATACCTTTGATGTAAGGAAGAGTTATCACTGGTTTTGGTTCTTGTTTTTCTGGATTTCTGGTTTCTTTGTTTTGGTTGTTCTTTTCTTTCTGTTGTTGTTTGTTGTTTTCCTTAGTTTATTGCCCATGTCGGGTATCCACAGTTCTTTAAAACGTTTTGTATACGTTGGTCCTCCTGTTTACAGTCCCGTTCTTCTGTTATTATGTTCGCTGGGTGGTATAACGTGTGCTATATATATTGGTTTCCTGTATGCGTTTATAATCAGGGTCCCGCTGCTCTGTCTAGTTATTTTCATGTCCAAAACAACCCCATTTTTGTGTTTTAAAAGAACCAAGCAAGACATTCTCTTTCTGCTCTGGATTCTCTTTCAAGTTCAGAAGTTACAGATCATACTTTGTGTTTTTATTGAAGCTTGCAGTAGAAGAGTTTATGTGCTGAGTCCTAAAGTGCTTAGACAAGTTTGGATCTTTCTGTGTCAGAAATGCATAGATTTAATTACATAGCAACTGTTGCATTGTTCCATGTGTGTACTGTTATTTATTTGTTCTTCTGTGTGGGTTACTTTATGCATTTTTTTTACGTTTAGAAAGCAGCAGGTCAAAGCATCAGCAGCTAAAAGAACAAAGAACAGAAAGGTCCACTGAGAGGAGGCCACCCAAACTCATCAGGAAGGTCCACAAACTTCCTACTGCCTCAGATGTGAATGCTAAACCAGGTATAACAATCTTTTTCATGTGAAGGCCAATCTTAAAGCTGAAACAGGAAAAAATTGAATATGGTGCAAAGTTGATTGATTTCAGTAATTCAACTTAACAGGGGAAATTAATATGAGACAGACTCATTAGCTCCAAAGCCAGATATTTCAAGCCTTTATTTGTTATTATAATTTATTTAAATTATAATTGGAATGATTATGGCTTACAGCTTATGAAAACCCCACATTTAAAATTTCTATTAAAATATTGTTAAAAGGTAAAATTGTTTAGACTCAGTGTCTCTCACCAGCTAATGAATCCAAAACTCCTGCAAAGGGTTCCTGAGCCTTTAGACGGTCTCTCAGTCTAAGAAGAATTATTGAAATTAATTGACTTATGCACCATATTCTCATTTTGTAAGGCAGCGTTATTTGTATAGCACATTTCCATTAGCAAGAGCAAAAATATTAAAATTAACATGACAACACAGTTAAAATACAAGAGCAGTTACAGTGCAGAAGATGCAGGCCATTCAAAGGCTGGTGAATACATGAAAGTTTTTAATCTTGATTTAAAAGTTTCTATAGTTGGAGCACATTTGAGGTAATAAAGAAGTTGATTCCTAGCCTGGCCAGCCAGACTCTCTGTTTAATTCTGCACAGAGACTGAGTCTGGTGACTCTCAGCAAAGAGCACCATGAAGGTGTGGCCAGTGGAAGTGGGATCCAGAGGTTTTGTAGCTGGTTCCATAATGAGGCTTTTGAAGGAAGTAGGAATCAGAGGCCAGGCCCAAAGGAGGGCAATCAAAGAGCTTGCCACTGCAGCGGAACAGAGCAGTCACTGGCTGTGGCTGAAACGAAGGGATGCAATTTGGACTGCCAAATGATGACGTGGTGCTTCCGAGTGACACACACCTGTGTCTGATCAACCAGGGGTGGGCCAACCCCAGCAGAGGGTGTATTGTGATAAGTGGCCGAAACACCCAATGAGGTCGGGGCACACAACTGAAGAAGTGTTGCGCCGGTTTCACCACAAAATCTGTGACAAAGCTCACTCCACTGAGTTTTCATTCACTGAGTTGTGCTGAAAGGGATCTTTAACAACTAGTCCTAGGAAAATTCTTGATTGACATCCTTTGTATCTAAGTTTTTAGGTTGGTGTATGACTCGATCCATATCTTGGCCTAATAAAAACTGTTTGCATTTATGCTAATCATCATATAATTCCATCTGTATTTGAGTCCCAAGTTTTATCATTCAATTCAAACAATGGATTTAAGAGTCTCAAGTCATGTGCCTGGTTTTATAAACAGCCAGTGATCACATCAGCCCTGAAGAGTTGCAGGAATGTTTGTAGAGACATATTGTCTGAACAAAACCACTGTTGTATGAGTAGAAAGGGTTGGACTTCCCACAGGCACAAGTTGGTCTTAAGTCTTACTGTTTGCACTTCACACCCTAAAGCTCCATCCTGAGGGTATAATTGCAAAAGGTCTCTGAAGAAAATGGATGACATTACAGGTTGTGTGGCTAGCATGGTAATACTATGCATTAGACATCCTGCAGCAATGACTTGGGTATTGAAATTTTTAAAATGTATCAAGATTTTTTAAAATTGTTTCCTGCCTTCCTTCATATACGGACCTGCAAACGCTACTTTAACCAGAGATAATGTTCTGCATTAGTCAATGTTAAAACTCTAATCTCATAAGAAATGTCTAGTATGCGTGACATGCTGGTTGTAACCAATAAGTGACACACTGACACTCACACAAGAGAATCACAGCCACATACTTCTGAAACCTGTCTGTAGCAGGACTCAGAACAACAGAAGAAAACCAAATACATGAACAAAATTATTAAAGACAATGTTGTTTTATATTTATAACAAGGAAAACCAATCAACATTTTATTATGACTTTTTGTGCAATTAAATGTTTGTTGAATCTGGAAGAGCATACTAGTTCAGTCCGTCTCTAAAACTATTTCGATCTTTAGTTTTAGTGGCTGATCTTTTGGCAGTCTCTGCTGTTTCCTCCGATCACACAGGAATGCACATAATTTCACCAGAGTAGCATGTTTTGCATTAGACTCCTACAGTGGCTCCACACTTACTTATCTCACAGATAAACGCTGTTTGAATGTCTGTAAAGTATCCACAATAATTTATGATTCTCCTGCAGTCAACAAACATGCTGCTGTGTGCAGCCATGTCCAGAGCCTATAAGTAAATAATGTAACCGTTTATGAAAATGTTCTGAAACTGTACTTGCATTCCATGCTTTCGTTCTTTTTTAAACACAGAAACAGTTTTGTTTACCTGTTTTGTAGCTACAGTTTCGCAGACGGCTGCCGGCTTCTTCAGGCTGACGCTGATGGTGGTGCGTCACTTCCTTCTCCGTTTATCTGCGGGCAGCAGAGGACGTTGTCGCCCTCTACTGCCCGCTCTCCCCTCTCCGACGATGCAGTCCCATGCGTGGTCCAGCGTGTAAACTCCGTCGTCCCAGGACTGCATCGTCGGAGAGGGGAGAGCGGGCAGTAGAGGGCGACAACGTCCTCTGCTGCCCGCAGATAAACGGAGAAGGAAGTGACGCACCACCATCAGCGTCAGCCTGAAGAAGCCGGCAGCCGTCGGCGAAACTGTAGCTACAAACAGGTAAACAAAACTGTTTCTGTGTTTAAAAAAGAACGAAAGCATGGAATTAGAACCACGACACAGTAAGAACACACCTAAGATGTACTTGCATTGCTGTTTGTGAGCACTTGATAGATTTGCACCATTGATTGTTTGTCCTGCAGGTTTTTGTTGTTGTTGAGCCTGAATAGTTGGAATGCAGAACTCACCACTTCCTTTAATGTTTGCCTTACTTATATTAAAATATATAATCAGTAAATTCAGAACAGTGTCAGTTAAACAATCCAAGTTTGTAAAGAGGAGTTACCTCGTTAAGGAAAGCAGGGGTTTACATTGAAACTTGTGTGCTGTCTCAACTCTGACCAGTCCCTGTTTCATGTTGGCACAGAGCTAAAAATAACGTGTGGACCGGTTCACTTGGCTTATCCGCTCTGCATAAACAGCTGTTTGTTTTCTTGATGTACAACTTTATTTCCAGGAACTCCTGAGCTCTCACAATGAAACATGCTCAAAATATTTTTGAATATAAATCACGGCTTTTGCTTTGAGTCATTGTGCTAGTCGGGTGCAAAACATAGAGAGAAATTCTTCTGCCTTGTGTCACACAGCAGATTCAGAGTCATAGAAAACACTTCTGTATGCTGTTTAAAAGTTATTTTTCTGGTTATTTCTGTTCTAAATTTGATATGTTTGCCATTTAAAATCTTTTAAAACTAATTCTCTTAGGTGTGTCTTTATACCTGCACAAGTAATAACACATGCAATGAGGCTTTCTAGTAGCACCTTCTAAGAAATATGCCTTGTGTCTTTTGTAGTAACTGGTGCAGCATCATGGCGAGAGGGCCAAAAGCTGATAAAGACAGTTCTGGGTCCAGGTCCCAAGCTACCCAGAGAGGAGCACAGTTCCCTTCCAGCTGGCAGACGGACACAGACAGGTGGGGTTTATGAACATGAACTCTCACCCCTCCATACATACCAGTACATGATGTTCTGTCATGAGACACTTTTTGAAGTGGTTAGTAGGAAGTGTTAGAATGTCAACAGTATCTCTTCTCTGGCCCTTTCATGTTCCTCGTGCCTAAATATGTGTCGTTCTTAATTTTTCTTTTGTGATATTTCTACTTGTATACACTTAATTGCTCATGCTGGTTGGTAAACAGATCTTTAAACTGTGTGGCTCCAGGTTTTGATCCATTTCTGGGTTTATCTCAGTAACTAGAAGGCATTTTTCATGCATCTATTTCACGACACCAGCAGTTAATTAAGGTGGCCCATAACACCTCTTAAACCTACGGACACTGACCTGAACAGCCTGTGTGGTATTCTAAGTTGACGTTAAAAAAAGTAACTTTCTGAATTTGTAAGACTTTTAAAATATTGTGTAGCTTAGACACTTCTAAAGTTAAACATACTAACTAGATGCATTTGCCTTTTGATACTTATTCTACTTATTTGATACTTAATACTTTACTGTTGGGGGCAGCAGTAACTCAACAGGTTGAGCGGGTTGTCCAGTAATCGGAAGTTTGCAGGTTTGATCCCGGCTCCGGACAGAGAATTCTGCTGTTGTGTCCTTGGGCAAGACACTTAACCCACCTTGCCTGCTGGTGGTGGTCGGAGGAACCGGTGGCGCCTGTGCTCGGCAACCTCGCCTCTGTCAGTGCTCCCCAGGGCAGCTGTGGCTACATCGTAGCTCATCATCACCATCAGTGTGTGAATGTGTGTGTGAATGGATGAATGATACACTGTAGTGTAAAGCGCTTTGGAGTCCATACTCAGAGGTGCTATACAAGTGCGGGTCATTTATCATTTACCAGTGGCACCAGTGTTTTGCCTCTGTCACTGTGCCCCAGGGCAGCTGTGGCTACATCGTAGCTCATCCCCACTAGCGTGTGAATGTGTGTGTGAATGGGTAAATGACTGATTGTGTTGTGAAGCGCCTTGGGGGGTTGTAGCACCCTAAGAAGGCACTATACAAATGCAGGCCATTTTACCATTTACTTGAAACTCGGGTGACTTAGTTAAAAACTAGAGGAATTGATTTATTCTGTTTCCTTTTAAAAAAAAGCCTGATATAACAAATCTGCAAACAAGCTAGGTTTTTGAGCCCGAACAGTCAGTTTTGGGACTCTGGTAGTTTGTCCTAAAGTTCAAGGCTGTTTCTCTGATGTTGTTGAGCCACAAACCTCACACCAGTGGTGTTCTGTTGCTAAATGTGGCAGTATGTAAACCCAGGGAAGTGCAGGTGTGCGGTGGTTCGGTGAGACCAACAACTCAGTGGTTGCTTTCAATTTGAAACGTGTTATTGGCAGAGATCTTTAGACAAATGCGAGGAAACCATTTTAATTGTTTTTTTTTTTAATTTCCATAATATATTCATAGCTATTCTATGATATGTTGAGAGGCATGAAAAAAATGTTTTAAGCTAATTAGTTTTTCAAATTTGCCATTGCAGCTTTAATCCCGGACCAAATTAATGTTGTCTCACTGGCAAAACTACATTAAAGACTTCTGAATGTTGTAGTAGCTATTGAAGGTCTGAATGTAGTCAACACCATCAACCAAAGTATTTTAAAGAAACAGTCTTTTTCTCTCCTCCAAAGTTATAATGGAAGGGAAACCTTCGTCTTTGTGATACACACATAATGAATAACTCCCTTAGCCGCACTTGCCTGCGTCTGCTCAGGGCCATCGCTGACCTGAACAAATAGATTGACTCCCTTTTTAGGTTGGGTGCACAATAATACACTAATTCATTTCCATACTGTCCCAAATGCATGCAACAAAATTCAGTGAGGCTTTCCTACAGGCATGCTTGGAAAAAAAGAGAAACCCGTCTGGATTAGACGGTACATTGCAATCTTCGATTTGGCCTAGATTAAAGTGGGTTTAGCAAACCCTCCAACAAGCTTATTTTTTCTTCACTGGGTCTGTGCTGCAGTTTTATATTTTTATTATTCTGGTTATTTATGGATGTAACCAGGTTTTATTTTTACCTGTTATGAGAGTTTGTAGAAATATCTTTATCTGATTTACACAAAGCAAAAACTGCAATGACTTGTAAATACTTAGCATTTGCAGTTTAATAATTCAAAAATGTTTTCATCTGTATGCATCCATCATTAAATTATTTACTACCGACGGACACTTCTAATGTTCCGTTTTTCTGAAAATATTCTCCAGCTTCCAGACACCACTCTGACCCGCACTCAGAACCAAACAGACGCTCTCGCCCGAACAGCACAGAGAGACCTCGTAGTGGATCTCAAGAGCGACCCAGTAATCACTCCACGAACACGTACTTGCCCTTGTCTTCAGCTCAGGACAAGGTGCCACTGAGGGTTAGCTCAGACCTGTTGTCATCAGACATCCAGGGAATACTTGATGACCTGCAGCTGGATTGCCAAGCAGCTGAGGAGGAAGGGAGGGCCCGTAAAAGTTCCCGGGGTGGGAGTGCTGGAAGGAGAGGGAGAGCGGGTTCAGGTTCCCAAACAAGGATGCCTGTCTCTGCTTGGGGACCTACTAGAGCAGCAAACATCTCTTCACGAGGTTGCCGTAGTGCCAGCCCAACTGCACACCATGCTGATAACGAGATCAAAGGGCAGAAGAAACGACACTACGATGCAGATGCGGTTCGTCAGTACCTCGCACGACAACAAGAGGAAAGGAAGAGACGTCAGGCAGAGGAGAAGAGAGCAATGAAGGAAGAAGCCGAAAAGAGAAACCAGAGACTGCAGGAGCTCTACAAGAAGCAACGAGAAGTTGCTAAAACAGTACCCTCATTCACTGAGGCGCTTGTGGCTCCTGTTCAAAAACGACTTCAGGAGACTTACAACAAACTGCTGCTGGAGGATGCCCAACTGGGCGAGGAGGCCACACAGCATGCTGCACGTTGCAGTCAGACGGTATTATACACACTAAACATGCTCATCCTATTCAAATACTTAAGTCCTATTTGAATACTAACGTTACTTGAATACAGAGATTATAGGAATAAAATGTTACATTGATTGTTAACATTAGTTTTCTTCCCCCGCAGAGACCAGTGTATCAGCCTTCAGGAGAGTCAGACAAAGAGAACAAAAGACTGGAGGTCCCCCAGAGCCCCTCAAGCAGTGACAAGTCTTTAAATGATCTAATGCCACCTCAGTTATCAAGGTAATTGTATGCTTAAAAAATGAAGGAAACCTTTTTATTTTACCTTCACTCAACAGAATAACGAGCCCCCACTTTTAGATGTACTGACACAAATCACACTCCGCATCATGGATGTTATTTATTCAATACCACAATGATCTTTGATATTGTGCTTATTATCTGATGCATAGTTTACATGGAGGTGGTCACGCAAATGTCTGTTAAAAAGCAGAACTGCTTGCTTTTTAAGCATGAGCACAAACAAAATGAACCACATTCACAAACATCAGATAAAAAAAAAACAGATCCATTTATTTAATATATCACAGCCTGCAAGTAGGTATCTTACTAGTTTTAGTTTTCAGGAGCGACACCAGCTGTTAAAGAGGAGAACTGCAGCCATAAAACTGCAACAAACATTGTTTTTAGCACGGCTGATGACATAAATACAGGAAAGTTTGCTTCACCCTAATCCTGTAGAGAAACATTCGTGAACAAAGTGTGTTGTAGGGAATGTGGGTTGAACACAGTGAAGCTGAAAAGGAGTGACTAATGTGACACTGTAACGATGGCAGAGAAGTTAAGTGGCCATCTCATTGCCAAAGGGTTGCAGGATCGACTCCCGCTCAGTCGTTATGTCCTTCGGCAAGACACTTAATGGCTCTAAGGTGTTTTGACATAATTTTCTAAGATTGTTTTTTTGTTTCAAGTTCTCACCACAGCAAAAATACTTCACTGTTAATATTTTTTCAAAACAGTGCAACTGGTGTTTTTGCAGCAGCATGTGAATGTCATGAGTTTATATTTTCCCATTTGTAAACAGCTATGAAACACTCTTTGTTAACAGTTAACTAATTTTTATTGTTCACATTTATAAAAAAGGGCATTTTGCTGCTGATCATTACTGAGTCATCTCTACCCTGTCAGTTTTAAAAAATATACATTATTATTACATTTTTGTTCTTTTTGGGTTATCGTGTGACAGGTATTTTGTGATTGATAACATTATTCTTCTGTTTTTCATGACATAATTTTTATCTTTGTACCATCTTTTGCAGGGATGATATGGATGTAGGAGATGACTCTTTGTTTCGTGCAGATCCTCCAAATCCACCTGATGGACCCATAGCTGGCCCCAGCTGCGTTACCCCTTCCAATGAACACCTGTTTTCTCAGCTTTTGAGGCTGGAGGCTGCAGTGGTTGCTAGCAATATTAAGTACACTGAACGGCCTGCCACAGCCCCTTTCAAAAGGTCACAGACCAAAATGTCCAGAATTGAAGCCTTAAAGGCCACAGCTATGTCCCTCTCCAACCGCATTGAGAAAGAGGCGCTGAAGTTTGCTGGACAGGGTATCAACTATGGTGCAGTGACTTCAGCGGATGTTGATTCTGTCCTGGCTTCTAGAACTCCAAATGCTCATCGGTTCTGGGCAGAAACAAATACTCCGCCCACAAGAAATGATGACATGTCTTTTAGGATGCATAGTTCATATAACAGCACAGCTCTTCCAGGAGCAGGCAACATCCATGAACTTAGAGGAAAGGCTCACACTGGGTTCACTAATCCACATGCAATATCTGCTGGTGTAACTGGGCCGACCTATAATGGTTTCACTCAAGAAAGGAATAGGATAGTGGGTAGTTTGGAAATGAACGAGAGAACAGAGAAAGAAGCACTGAGGACAAAAGCTCACAAGGAAGACACTCGGGCTGATCTCCACGATTCGAGTGCTGGTTCCATCAGTGAGGGTCCGCTTCTGAGTGAAGGTAGTTTTTCCGAGGATGAGGGGAGCCCTCGCAATAATCTACCGAAGCAAGATCACCTAGAGGCAGTGGGCTATTTGGGAAGTCAACGAAAAGAAAAGCAGCGACTGTTTGAGTTCCAGAGGGAGGCAGCAAAGTGCCCGGCCCTGAGCCCCCCGTTTTTACAACACGACAGCAGCAGGGCACCCTGGGAGGAGCTGAACAAAGGAAGCCCCTTGAGTGTAATCAACATTTTTACTAGAAATGCCCATGGCCATGTTAAAGGTAAATTCACACGTAACAAGTGATATTTGTTGCTCGTTTCTCTCTTCATAAACATAAACATTTGTCAGATTTTTATAAATAGTAGTCCCCTATTGACTCGAGTAGCTACACAGAATGTTGCTGGTTTCTACTGAAAGTCATGATAAAAAAGTTAATATCTTTAAAATTTTCCATCTTCCAGTGAATGAAAGAAATTCTCAGAGGAATTCTCCACCTGCCAGTTCTTTACACTCTGGAGCCAGCCCAGGCAGTGCAGTGGTCTATGAAGATGATTTTGTTTCATCACATAGCAGCAAAGTCAGTGAACACAGAGGCTCCAGTTCACCAAGGTAAGATATGTTATGACCACTGGGTGTCACTCATGTCACACAGGTAAAACAAAAAATGTGTTCAAAGTGTTTATATACATATATACATATATTCTGCATGTAGTTATCCTTTTTGCTTTTTTTACTTGGAAAGTGACTTATGAGCTTGTGAGATGATTGTTTAAAGACTATAGGAGTCATTCATTCTCAACATTTATCTTTTAATCATTTCAGTCAATCGCAGCATCTTTCCCCTGGCTCGACACCTAACTCCTCACCTCTTTCCAGACAGTCTGGCAGAAGAAAAGGTGACCATAACTTATTTTGCACGATGTTGTGCTTTGACTATGAATTGCAAATTGGTGTTCTGTAGAAAGTAGTTCAGACATTTTGCAGATGAGGACAATTGTAATTAATCTATATCGAATGTAAAAAATGTTAAATTCCATATTTAACAAAACAATTCTTCTTTTTCTCTACAGGAACCATATCAGACCAGAGTGATACAACTCTTGTTGAAGAGCAGAGGAATTCTTGCTCTCCTCCTTCAGAAGATCCATCATCAGACTACAGGAAGAGGGAAACGGGCAAAAGCTCTAGTCACACCCAGGACAAAAGTATAAACTCTAATGACACTTCAGGAGAAACATCAGGACATTCTCCTCAAAGGTAATGACCCCCAAGTGGAGTACATTTGTTATTCACTTTGATAGTGCTAGGCCAGGTCTAAAAATTAGGAAATATTTTTCTTGCTTGGTCCTTCTGAGCATTTTTCTAACTGAATGACTGAATTATATACCGTATTTTCCAGACTATTAGTCACACTTTTTTTCATAGTCTGGCTGGTCCTGCGACTTATACTCCGGAGCGACTTATATACCAAATCATGTTAGTCATTTTCACCTATAACTGCTAGATGCAGCTCTAGGCCTTTGTATTGGTAAGTGTGACACCTGTTCCACTAAAAATTCAGCATTTAAACAATAGCTTACAATCAAGAAAGACTAAAGAATAGAAACGCCCCCGAAAAGAAAAGCATATTCTGCAGATTACAAGCTCCAAGTAGTGAAATATGCAACAAAAAACTGTAATCGAGCAGCTGAAAGAAATTTTGGAGTGAGCGAGAAACTTGTGAGGGACTAGCAAAAAGCGGAGGTCACCCTTATTGCAATGGGAAAAAAAACTAATCGTGGGCTAAAAGCTAGCTGGCCACAGCTAGAGGAACAAGTTCGCAAATGGGTGCTTGAACAGCGGGCTGCTGGGAGAGGCTCATCAGCAGTGCAACTACGTCTCCACGCCCAGGTGGTTGCCAAGGCGATGAATATCAGCGACTTTGCGGGAGGTCCTTCTTGGTGTTACCGCTTCATGCAACGCAACCAGCTCAGAGCACGGACATCGGTGTCCCAAAAACTGCCAGCAGACTTCCAAGCCAAGGTTGATGGTTTCCATGAGTTTGTTGAAAGGCAAACAACCGAACTCAGCATGGCACCGGATCATATTATTAATATGGACGAGGCTCCCCTCACATTTGACATCCCCATGGGCCGAAGTGTTGCAGAAAAAGTGAATATTGTGACAACTGGTATTGAGAAATCACACTTCACCGTGGTGCTGGCATGTTGTGGAGATGGATCAAAATTACCCCTGACGGTCATTTTCAAATGTAAAACCATGCTAAACATCAACTCCCCCTCAGTTGTTTTGGCTGTGAATGAGAAAGGGTGGATGGATCAAGAAATGATGAACTTTTGGCTCACAAAGTGAGCGTCCAAATGGTTTCTTCAGAACACGCAAAGCCCTGTTCATGATGGACAGCATGCGAGCGCACATCACGCCACAGTTCAAAGATAAATTAAAAGCTGTCAACTCCATACCTGCCATCATCCCTGGAGATTTAACTAAAGTTCTCCAGCCACTTGACATCTCAGTGAACCGGAGCTTTAAGGCAGTCTTGCGCAACCTGTGGGAACAGTGGATGATTGATGGAGAGCACAGCTTCACGGCAACCGGGAGGATGCGCCATCCAACTTTCCTGGAAGTCATTGGATAATCAACAAAGCATGGGCATCAGTGACAACCGAGACCATCCTGTTGGGGTTCAGGAAGGCCGGAATAATTGGAACTGGGACTGATGCAGAGTCTGATGACAGTCATGCAGAGTAAGAGGTGCTTCGTCGTCCTCCTCCAGAGTTGGCCGTGTTGTTCAGAAGTGACACAGAGGAGGAAGAATTTGATGGATTTTAGTGGTTTGGAGTGAGATGGAGAGTTTGGTAAGCTTGTTATATTTTGTATGCTACAGTTATCTGAACAAATGTTAATATGTCACACGCAATTCAGTTTGTTGTTTATTCCTTGTGCAGATGGATAACAAATGTCGCATCAGCATACCGCTGATGCAACAGCTGGTTGTTTATTCTGTTATTGTTACCGGTACTTGTCTTGCGATGTGAAATGCTTGGTCACAGATTTTTTTAAGAAAAATACTAAAATTTCCCCCCAAAATGCGACAGTGCAACTTATATGTGTTTTTTTCTTCTTCATTATACGTTTTATGGCTTTTGCGACTTGTACTCCGGAGCGACTTATAGTCCGGAAAATACGGTACCTTTTAAGCAGAAGTACCATTGTTTTCATTCCTCTGATATTTCGCACTTCCTGGTTTTATTCATTACAAACACCTCTTGTCATCTTGTCTATCATACGTTATTTCTACTGAAGTCATCTGTGATTATATGTATCTTTAGTTTTCTATATTAAATTGATTCATTACATCTGATGAATTATGAATTCATTGTAAACCAAAAAGTGCTGCTAGCCATAGGGTTTAGGCAAAAAGGCCCAAATTTTGCTATTTGTTGCTGGGAGACTGGGTTATATTATTTTTGTGGTTACAAGTTTCTTGTCTTATTGAAGCTTTTTAACATCCAGATCAGGTAGTAGAAAGATTTATACTTTTAATTAAAAAGTATTTTCTTAAGCTAAAATGAACTTCTTTAATAATCCAAGTGGTTTCAGCCTCTGCATAGTTTTCTCTTACAGTGGGTATAGAAAAGAATCACCTACTTTGAAAGATTTTCATTTTGCTTCCTTTGTATCCTTAAATGACGACAAAAACAAAATATATTTTACGAATTTTACTTATCCAATGCAACCTATCATATCAAACTGAAAAAAATCACAATTACAGTTCAGAAAAATATTCAAGAAATAGTGAGAATAAAATATCACATAGTTAGTTTCATCTCATCTAACCATGAGGCCATTTTCCATTTGGCATCAGATTTTTCAAGGTACATTTCAACAAAAATGAAACCAGCTTTAATGTGGCCTTTCTTGAGAATTGGATATTTCCTTATGACTTTTCTAAACAAGCCACATCCGTGGAGCGCTTGTGAAATTGTTGTCACATGGACAGAATGACAAGTCCTTTAAGTCCTTCAGAGTGGCCATTGGCCTCTTGATAGCCACTCTTACCAGTTTCCCGCTTGCTCAGTTACTGAATTCAGGGACGGTCGTAGTACCTGACAATTGCCACTTCTTTACTGTAGACTTTACCATGCTCCTTGAGATTGATAAAGCCTTTGGGATTGTTTTTGTGTCCGTCTCCTGCCTTATGTCTGTCCACAACTTAGTCCCTGAGATCTTTTGAAAGTGGCATTTAGAGGTGTGCAGAATGAATGTACATTTTTCTCCTTTAAAAGCTATATTTAAAAAATAAATGATCACAATTTTATTTTGACGGGCATGACACTGGGTTAATCATTGCATCTGCCAGCCAATAAGGGGCACCGTTGTGGTGAAAATCCGCTTGGCAGGGCGAGGCTGGGACTGTTTAAAATGGTGGACTCATTAAATCAAGCAGCTGGTTCTGAGCCCAGAATATGTTCTAACGGTAAATACTGTTGTAAAATAAAAGTAATAGTAGAAATGGCTCCTTACCCTTTACGATTCGTCATTGGACATGGTGCTGGCTGGTCACTTGACATATCAGCAGTGAACCAACATGGCTGAAAAATAAACACTAGATGTCGTTAGAGTGTCCATGTTCCATATTCAACTTTTAAATTTGACCATTTGAAAAGTCTTTGCTTGGTGAGTACACATCCGGGGTCCCCTTTTTAAAAGTTACAGTTGTAGCAGCGAGCAGGAGAGGGGTGGAATGTTGGACTCAAGGCGAGCGCACGGAGTGGTGCATCTGGTTGTTTTATTGTTTTCATGCTGCTGCTATAGCTGTAATGTAATCAGCGTTCTAGCAGTGTTTTTGTGAGGAAAAACATTCAAGCACCCCATTAAAGCATTCAGGCAGCTCACTTTAGTAAATTAGTTTAGGGAAAACTAATAAATACACCTGAAAATAATTCTTACCTTTAGTGGAATTTTGCATGCTTTCTTTTTTTTTTTTAACAGCACATTGTGCTCTGCATCTTGATTAGGGCACAGTGTTTAAACAAGAGAGAAAAGTGTGAAAATGTCTGAGAAAATTATATAAAGTGTGTAGTTATGAGGTTTGCAGCCTTAAAACATTTATAATTGTAAAAAAACAAAAAGCTGGCTACTTTGCGGATATCGCCTTTTTCTAGTTATTTTTAGAATGTAATCCTAGTGATAAATGAGGGACCAGTGTTAACAAAAATAATTAAAATGTTTAATTTATTTCTTCTTAGTCAGTACAGCCCTCTGTTTTCCTGTAGGAGTAGTAGGGAAAGTATTCTATGGATTTAGGATAAAGCAACAGGATTGTCCTTTATTTATATTGGTATTTTTTGTATTTTTATTCATTTAATATTTTTTTCCATAAACTGTAGCTTTGATATTTTTCATTTGGATGTTATGGGTTGGATTAGATAAGTAAAGCTGGTAAGATATTTTTTGTTTGTTTTTCCATTTAAGGCTGTAATGCAAAAAGACTGAAGTCTTTCAATAGAGGGTGATTATTTTCTATACCCACTGTAGGTGTTATTTGTTACCATAATTAAATGTATCTAAACACGCCTACATGTAAGGGTGCCCCGTTGCTGCTGCCAGTTAAAGCAGTCTTGTGTCTTGTTGTTCTGTTGTAGGCCTGAGTGTTTGAGCATCCATTGAGCTAATGCCAAGGAACACAAGCTGCAGTCAGGCCTGAGAGCAGAATACACTGGGTGGTTTGTTATAAAAGCCCGCCGGATGGTTTTTGAGTCAGTCAGCTTTACCACAGATTGGGCTTTCTGCCAAAGCAAGAGAGGTTTTCTTTTTTTAATCTCAGCACAAAGATGTGTAATCTGAGCCCCTTCATGCTACTTTGAAGACCAAGTGGTAAATTCTTTGGATTCTGTGGTATCTGTGTCCTGCACAGTAAAGGCTTTACATTCAGGCAGGGTCCTCTCATTTCCTCCCATCATAAGTTGAAGAGGGTTTAGTGTGCTCAGGCCAAGGCAGTTTAGGAACGTTTTTTTTTTCTGTTGGTAAGAGTATTAAGGCTGATTATCAGATTTAGCAGATTACATTTATATTGCTCTGTACACAAAACAGTTTTTACCAGCATTGGTGATGATAATGCTATGTATTCGGGTAAGATTGGGTTAGATTGTTGTAATTATACATCAAAATTATTTTTCAAAACACCTCGGTAAGTAAAAAAATCCTCAAGAGTACATACATCAGATACTGGCATTCGTAAATAAGTAAAACAATTATTTCAGACATTTCTTTTCCAGTTTCAGGTTATAAGCAAGGCAGCTTTATTTGTATAGCACATGAGTCTTTCGATTAGCGAGAATAGCACGCAACAGCACAATCAAAATACACAAAATAAATGTAAGTCAAAGTAAATACACAACTTAATTTCAAATTTCAGAATAAAAAAATACAAAGGGTGAGCAGTTACAGTGCAGAAGGTGTAGCATAAGAAACATTCATTCAAAGGCTGATTAACACATGACAGTTTTGAATTTTGATTTAAAAGTTACTAGAGATGGGGCACATTTGAGGTCCTAAGGAAGCCGAGAAAATGACAATAATGATAATTGATTAATTCAACTTTTTTTCTTTTTTTTTTTTTTTTTTGCAGACCCAGATTGGCCTCTCCATCTCGCTCCCCAGAACCCAGCTGTCCTACAGAAGCAGACTCTTTCAGTGGTCCATTGAGAAATGACACAATTAATCCAGACATCAACACCTCATTTTATCCTAATCAAACTGAGTCGATGCCTACTGGTAAATTAAACCTACTTAGATGTTATCATAATGTATGTTATGAGATCAACATCATTGATGTATCACCTTGTTTTGCTCCCAGGTGAGTTGCAGTATTCACCTGCTGTCTTGCAGCAGCAAATGGCAGCAGAGCTGCACTACCTAGAGTCCATTGAGGAGTCCATCAAACAGCTGGGAGCTGTTGAGAGGATGATGGGTGTGTCCATGGCACAACAGGAGAGTGTGTCATTGGCCCAAATGCTCCGGGTAAAGGATGATGTCACAATTCCTAGTTCTGTTTTAGCTTTGGTCGAACGTGTTCAGGTCTCACATGTTTAGCTGGTGTTAAATAAGTAAACATTTGTTTTATCACTCATTTTGCAACAGATTAGTAGCATTGTTGTATATGGTGTTGTTAAGGTGACGTTTACGTTTGAACCTTTTTTATTATTATCATTATAGTTATTGAGCCTGCAGAATCAATACAGAAACCCTCTGTTGACCCGTTCTCTTTATCTACCCCTAAGGCCAAGCAGCATCTTCATGAGCGTGAAATTTATGAGTTGAAGATCAAAGCTGAAAGAGAAGCTCTTGAGACCAAGCTACAGCAGGAAGAAAACAGACAGAGAGTTGCCATGGTATGGTGCACATTGCTCATTAGTAGATGTTTTTGGGCAATTTGGCTCGTTTCTTCACTTTTATCAATTACCTTGTGCATATTTATGATGTTATCAGTATAACATTTGTGTATGATTTTTGTCCAGGCTCATATGGAACTACAGGAAAGCTTCGCAGCATCACAAAAAGAGCCTTTGGAAAAATTCCAGGAATCAACTTATAAGATGAGCCAACAGGCTGAGGCAGCACGACACACAGCAGATGCTGCCCGACACATTATAGAGGTTAACAACAACAAAGATGCTGCGTACATGGATGACAAAGGTACTGCATTAGCAAGCATGCTTTCAGTTGAAAAATTCAAATATCCCATTACACATTGTTAGTATAGTGATTAGAAAATCGTTGTACACTTGAACAAAGTGAGAGAAAATAGGTGAATATTGGAAAAATTCAGTTTAGGGCTGGGCGATATGGAAATACCGTAAATCCTCTAATATTAGCCTGTATTTAATTAACTGCCGGGTATCATATTTTGGTTTTAGTCGGCGTAGGTGAATAATGGCCATTTTTTTATTGTGGTCGGGTGGAATGTGGTAACAAGCAAGTACGGGGGGCGGTTGTGTCATCCGTCTCACTTTTGATTTGCCAGTGATAGACCGCGAGGGTAACTTAAACCGTGCGGAGACGAAGAGGAGGCGAAAATTTGATATCAAGTTCAAAGAGAACGTGCTGATTATGCTGCAGAACACTCTGGGGAGCAGTAGCAGGGGTTGTATGAACTAGTCACTAGTCGACTTTGCTCTATAGTGACTTGTTATGCCTGTCATCGACTAGTCGCTGTCACGTGATAATGACCGGCAAGATGCAGTCCACAGCAAAGATCACACCTTCGTCTCCTCACGCTTAGACTACTGTAACTCTCTTTTCACGTGTCTGAGCAGAACCTCCCTGAACCGTCTACAGGTGGTTCAGAATGCCTGTGCTCGGCTTCTGACCAAGTCCTCCAAACACACCCACATCACCCCGCTTCTCCTCCAGCTTCACTGGCTGCCAGTCAACTTCAGGGTTCATTTCAAGATCCTGGTTCTGGTCTATAGGGCCTTACATGGACAAGCACCATCTTACATTGGTGATCTTCTTAGTCCCTACACCCCCAGCAGGTCCCTGAGGTCCAGTGATCAAAGCCTACTGGTTGTGCAGCGCACCAGGCTAAAGACCAAAGGTGACAGATCATTTGCTGCTGTGGCCCCCAGACTCTGGAACTCTCTCCCCCTGAGCCTGAGATCAGTGGTCTCCTTCAAAAAGCAGCTGAAGACTCACTTGTTCAAGCTGGCTTTTGTATGACCTTCTTCACCACTCTCTCTTTATTCTGCTCTCCCCACCTATTTCACCTTCCTCAGGATCCACTGATTTCCCTCTTTCCTTTTCACTCTCTCTCTTTCTTAAAATGTTTTCTTTTAAATCCCAATTGCCTATTTTTGCTTATTTTAAATATATTTTTAAACATTTTCTAAATGCTTTTTAATATGTTTACATTTTTTTATATTTTTACATTTTTTGTTTTTGTGAAGCGCCTCGTGATTTTTATCTTGAGAGGCGCTATAGAAATGATATTTTCTTCTTCTTTTCTGATCAGGAAACAGCTGGCAGTGAATGAGTTAAGAATAAGCAATAAAAAAGAAATGTCAAAATATAAAAACAATGTTTTGTATTAGGCAGTGCACATTAATGTGAGTAGTTAAAGAATCTGGGTCATTATCAGAGGGTAAAGGTGGATTGAAAGCAACAGAAAATTAGCAGGCTGTGCAATGATGATTTGAAATGTAAACATCTTCCAGACAAACACTGTCAATGTCTAAACTCAGGGTACAAACAAGGTCCAGAGTGTGTCCCTGGTGTGTGTGGGGCCAGAAACATGCTGAGTAAAAGTGAAAGAGTCCACGAGGCTGGAAAAGCTCCTGGCAAAGTGATCAGAGTAAGCAAAGTGGTGTTGTACACATCGAATGCCATAAACTAATGTTGTTGCTCTTCCATCAGCGGAGAGTACATCAGTGGCCACAGATTACTCACTGAAGTTTGAGGAGTCCATGACAGAAGATGAGATCGAGGAGCGCTCCTTCCGCTCTCTGCTTCCATCTGAGGCACATCGCCGTGGAACTTTGGAGAAGAAGTCCCGTCATGAGGAAGCAGATGATTATGATGCAGCCAATCACAATGCATCAACAATGTCTGGGTCACACAGTACCGTTAAGGTGAGGGGTCAGAGCTTATTTAACATAACTGTATTTTTCACATTCAAACTAACAGAATATTTTTCTTACTTCTGACTCAATTTGCTTTTATAACCCTCTTTAACCTACGATTCATGTTTTGAAGTTGATCTAAACATGCCTTTTTTTTTTATTGTTCTTTTCCTGCTGTCTCAGAATGCACACATACCCTTCTCTGATGGACAGGACAGCTTCTCTCAGTTCACCATGGAAATGGTTCGTCAGTACATGAAGGATGAGGAGGTCAGACTGCAGCACCAGAGCTCTCTGCTGCATCTACGGCAGAAAGCTCTGAAGGAGAAAACCAGAGCAGAGATGGCTTGGCTTGAACACCAGAAAAAGAAGCTCAGAGACAAGGGTGAGGATGATAAAATGCCGCCTATCCGGAAGAAGCAGAGGGGCCTTCTTCTTAAACTGCAGCAGGAGCAGGTACTCCCTAAGGGACACAAAAGCATTAAGACGGTTTCACTTTGGGATGCACTTAGGGAAACAGCCAGTGTCTTCTCCCACTTTGTTGTTTGCTATTTTCTCAGGCTGAAATAAAGCGACTCCAGGAGGCCAACAAAGCAGCAAGAAAAGAAAGGCAGCTGTTGCTGAAACATCAGGAGGAGATTGCACGAATGAGAAACACAACACTCAGACTGAAGGAGTGTCTCAAGTGTGCTGAGGGTCAAACTCCACCTGTAAGTCCCACTCTTACCCTAACCCTGTGCATGATTTGCATGAACTCTTTGTTTTGGTTTATTTTCTGTTTGTCTCTGTTATACATTATTTAGGAAACTCCAGTTTCTGAACCTCCTGGGTCAGAATCAACTTCCCCCAGTGTCAGGCTTGAAGATGAAATGCGCAGCGCCTCTCCGTCGCTCTCCGTCTCTGGCAGTGAGACCAGCAGCATCATGCAGAAGCTTAAGAAAATGAGGTCTCACATGGATGAAAAGTAAAGATTTTCATTTCCATCTTAAATAAATGTACTGATCTCTGTGCTTGTAGGCAGGTTTCTCAGTGGATTATAAAGTTTGCTCTTATCATTATTAATTCATACATTTTTATTTTATCACAGTCTCAGTGCTCTACATATCTTCTGTGCTTTCTCTGCTTTGCCATTACTGATGCACATGAGCCAGCTGCAGTTAACCTCTGGCATAAACTGAATAGAGATTTCTAAGACAATTTAAATATTTTTAACTTTTTCTCATTCTGTGATAAAAAATAAACTTCACAAATATTTAGTACAGTGTAGTTTTAAAAGGCCTTTCTTTCTAATAGGAAAGAACTTGAACAAGTCTTATAAGACGATAGAAAATTTATATCATCTGTTTTAGTTGGTGCTGCTTATTTAAAGATGATTGAGCTTTAATTTGCTTTTCTTTCTGACCAGATAATAGTGCATTAATTCCTCTGACAAACTCAGTTATTTGTTGTTAAAGAGGAGGTTCAATGTGATGACAGATCACTCTGGGTTTCACCTGTAGGCTGAATGTGAAAATAGTCTTCTAGCCCACCCCTATTTCCTGCATTAGCCACCGAAAAAAAATAGATGAGGAAACTTTGATTAGAAAAGCCTGACAGATCTACGTCACAGAGTATATTAGCATTCATGGACTCAACCATCTTGGCTTGCGACTTGGAAGACTGTTGATTTAGCAGCCAGGACAGAGCAGAGCGTGTTTCGGCTAGTAGAAGCTAACCGTTAGCATTGGCAACTCCACACCATGTCAGAACTCCTTCAGGCTTGTATTACTTGGGGAGATAAAACAACTGTGGCCTGGTAAAACAGTCAAATTCAGTTCCATTTAAAAGAAAAACTCACTTGATGCTTTTTGCTCAGGTTGAACCATCGCTAAAAGAAAATATTTTCTCAGTACAAAAGCCTGGAGTGTGGAGTAAACCATATTTTCTCATTTCACTTTCTCTGTTTTTTCTCTGCTTGTCTTGTTTCCCCCTGCATTTCGTGTGTTCTTTACATTGTGTGTGTGTGTGTGTGTCTTGTGTACGCACACGTACTGTAATTGCCCACACACACGTTTACGTGGCTCTTTTGACTTTGCTGCGTACTTGTGTGTTGTAGACACTGTTCCCCTGTCCACTACTTCTTCTCTGTGTTCACTGCCCACCACTGGGCCTCCCTCAGTGTCTGTCTTCCCAACCTCCACCCTAAATTCCAGCTCTTTATCTACAACCAGTTGGTCAGGTACTGTACAGTGCTCTCTATTTCTCCCCCCTTTCCCTGCTTTGCCTCACCTCTACCCCCGCACCATGGAACATGCTTGTGTTTATCCACCTGGCTCTGGGACGTTGTGGGGGTGGACTGGTTGATGAGGTGTGTGTGTGTGTGTGTGTGTGTGTGTGTGTGTGTGTGTGTGTGTGTGTGTGTGTGTGTGTGTGTGTGTGTGTGTGTGTGTGTGTGTGTGTGTGTGTGTGTGTGTGTGTGTGTGTGTGTGTGTGTGTGTGTGTGTGTGTGTGCGTGCGCGTGCGTGCGTGCGTGTGTTTGTGTGTGAGAGAGACAGAGAGAGAGCTGGAAATAAGCTAACCTTGTGACAACTTTAAAATATAATTAAACACATTCATATTGCTAATGTTGAATTTATTTGTTAAAATTCGAAATCAGAGATACAATTCAAAGGTTATGCTTATTTAATAGGAGCCTTCCTCATTGACTGTGAATCTCTGATTCAAAGTTCACTTGCGTTTAATAAGTAATTACCTCCTTTCTTTCATTTTGTACTTTTTGAATTCATTAGAAAAGCAATTGCAGAGTAAGTTAATTGTTACATTGTGGCTGCAGGCCGTTCCTATAATTGATGTGAAACAATCCAAAATGAAACCACACATTGGCATGAAAGTAAAGGATTCTGTAGAGAAGAGACCAAAGATAGTGTCCTATTTCTTTAATGAGCTCCGTAAATCTTAACCAGCCCTTTATAAAGCAGCTGTTGCATGGTCTGGGTATAATAAGTACAGATGGCCACTGCACTGTAATAGAGTTTGGAACGGCACTGGAGGAACCCCGCAGTCTTGTACTTCATTGTCTAAGTTGTCATCAGTATACATTAGATCAAGAAAAGGGCCTCTAAATTGGTTAAAAGCTAAATAGTGCTGCTCTGTAATGGCACTTACAGTCGTAGAACTAACCACTCCCAAAATGGCTACATCTAAAAGCTCCTTAAAGATATTTACAAAATAGTGACAAAGAGCAAAACAGATTTAAAAAGAACATTTTTTTAAGTTGTTTTCACTTATTAGGAAAAGCTCTAAGTAGGGAAAACAGGTCAAACCTAGAGGATTGGCCCATTTCATGAAATTCCTGCACAGCTAAATTTATCGAAGTGTGTGTGTGTGTGTTTGTGTGTGTACTTGTTTGTGCTCAACGACCAACCCTGGGCTTGAGTTTAACGCATGTCTCTGGCATCTCCACTATATTTCTCCTCCTTTGTGTAACATTTCATCACTTTATACTTCATGGGAACTTGTACGTTTCTATATTGGATGACTAGTATAGGCATGTATTTGAGGTGGGTTTTCTTGTGTTTGCTGGACAAATGTTTGAGGTGAGTTTGCAAAAATAACTGGAGAACATGGTGATTTGGGTCTTTTGCATCTGTTTAAAATGTTCTTATCCTTAGGGATTTTGTCCTGCTCCTCTTTCTCTCGTTGCCGTTGTTATTTTTTATTTTCTTTTTTCTTTCCTCATTTGACTTCATCTACAATTCATCTTCTATCTCATCATCTTTCTTTATCCACCTTGGCTTCACCCCTCTGTTCTTTTGCCTTTGTTTTTCATCGTCTACTTCTGCAGGTTCCTGACCAAGCGAGAGCAGCAGCTAATGCAAAGGCGTCACCATGCCGAGGAGCTGCTACAGTGGAAACAACGATTGGACCAAGAGGAGGCAGAGGTCCGTAGGATGGAGAAAGAGGCTCTGGCTGTTTGGGACAAAAAGAGAGACCACGACACACCTCATGATTTGTTTGAGAAGCAAGGAGAAGAGATCACCGACATTAGCTCGCACACCAGTCACTTTGAGACCAAATCTGACAGTGAGAAAGGTGAGGCTTTGTGTATTTCTCGCAATTTGGCCAAAATTTGTTTTAAATTGAAGATTTTTTGATTTATAATAATATTTTCCACAATCCCTTAAAAAAATAGTTTTTTAAATATATATCCAGTTTTTTGATCCCCTGATTGAATCTAGTATTTTTTGCAGCGATTGCACATAAAGGTAGAAATTAAATTTTGTGAGAGCGTGTGCCATAACCTATGTGTGTTCGCGAGTGTCAGGGTCCTTTTTACAGGAATAGGACTAGGGAGTCCTGGTTCTGACCCACAACATAAAAGATAAATTAAGTAGTAAAAGAGGAGCAAGTTAGAGGCAACCAAAAGATTTTATTCTTTACAAACCAAAGAACACATCAGCCAGGGACTGGATTTACTAACTAATAAAATAACTAGACACAGTCCCAAAATAAAGGAAAAGGGAGAAAGAAAAAGAACTGGAGTCTAGTCAAATCTCTGAAAGAGATTAACAGAAAAGTCATAACCTCTATTTTAGCAAACCCATTAAACAAGCTGGTTAGCGGGGACACAGGTGTCAGTATAAAATCTAAAAGTAACTTAAAGTGTGTGTTTTGTGTGTGTGCGGGCAAACATACAACCTTAATACCAATAACAAATGAACCTGGTGCCAAAACTACCAAAACATTACTTCAATGTAGTTTAAACTAAAACACCAGTTCAAAGACTTGAGCAAAAAGGATCTTCAACTTCAAAAGGGCTCAACACATCCAAGATGTGCGTCACAAAACAGGCTTAAAGCCTTCAAACAACTCTGGAGTCTACTTGACTACAGGTAGCTCCCTGAATGGAGGTTAGACTCCTTTTAAAGTCCTGAAGAGAAATCAGTCCAAATCAGTTCCACCTGGGAGAAGGTGGAGGGATGCATCCGGTGATCGTCCTGCCGGATCCTCTTGTCGTTGTCATGGTGATGGGGTAAACTGATGGAGGCGATCATCTTGCAGGGTAGGAGGAGTGATCCAGTTTCTCAGGAATAAAACACTGTGGATGAACAGGGAAACCCCCAGGTGAACATAATAACGAGGAAGCTGTGCTCTCCTTCAGTTAACTGCTAGATAATCTAAGCTACAAGAATAATCCTGCCAGTAATTCATGCCTGGTTCTCTGCTTCTGACCCAGGCCGCTCCTCCTTTTGTTTCTGACTGAGCACCCAGGAGTGGGCCTCCAGGCTGTTAATTCCCACACGGTTCTCTGAATTTGTTCTAGGCCGCTCCTCGTCATGGTTCTGGCTGAGTTCGGGCGCTCATAAGTGGTCCTAAAGGCTAATAATTCCAGCCTGGATCTTTACATTTGTGAGGCAGCATGTCCTCCTGGTTCTGCCCAGAGTCATGCCACACAGCTGCACATCATGTCTGGTACTAAGTCCCAAGACTTAAAAGTTTATTAGTATCAGGTCCAGGAGTGGAAAAAGCTCATAGGGAAATCTAATTTTGCATCACTCAAGTGTGTTTAAGTCAATCTAGGTCGATCTAAAACAATAACTGGGAGCCCTTATCCTAGTTTACATATGAAGTTCGTTCCACACCGGTACAGTAGGTGGCAATGTGTCGTTCTTCTGGTTAGCTTATAGCAACACAAATAGTAAACAATCGCTGGCGGGAGTGAAGAGACAAAATTACAACAGGGTATGCACAATGGCCGAAGGAATGGACAATAAAGCTGAAATGCAGCTTATTTGGTACGTACTCTTTAATGGTGTTATGCGTGTTCCTTTTTAACTGACCTGTATTTGTATAGCGCCTTCTTGGGATTCTACAACCATTCACACACACATTCACACAGCGATGTGTGGCACTCATATTATCAGAAGACGGCTTCCGCGGTCTTGTCATTTCCGGAAGTAACCGGTATCAGCTCGACAGAGCCAAACGGGGCCATCCATGCAGTCGGGTATCAGTCCCATTATCTGGGTGCTTTATCACAATTTGAACCTTTGCCTAACACGTTTACATGCATTCAAAACAACCAACTTCGGTCTATTGAAGACAATAGTTGGGTTTTTTGATGCACATGTAAACACACCAACTTTCACCAGGATACCTTTGTGTGATCGCCCGCCAAATGTTCTTGGTTCTCCAAAGCTCTCTCCTACTAACCCACAGACTGTCATGAGCCTCTCCTTCCCCTGACACAGCTTTGTCTGTTACTTGAGTTTATGGTAGTAGTAAATAATAAACAAATAGGTAAATAATTTGGTAAATAATAATAAATAGGTTTGAACGTCACAGGAGTGCACTGCTGAATGCAGTTCCACTAACATCCACATGGTGTGCTCTCTGCAGCATTCTCTGTGCTAGTCTGGCAACCCAGGCTAAAAAATATACATCATTTAGTTCGGCAACGCTCCATTGACTGTTCTCATTGTGGGGCGGGTTCTACCATTGTCTTTCAAACGATGTCTGCATGCTACCGGACAATGAACAACGTGACATACTCACCACAACGGATGTCAGTAAACAAGGCAGTCTGCTGTTGAAGAGCGCAAACATACATCCTTCTTCTAAATAAAGGACTTGAATACATCCATCTGCTCCTGATTCTAATAAAACCCAAGCCCAAATAGTCCAACATTGATGTAAAAGCTGTTTCAAATGAGCTTGTTCCACTTCGTTGCATCATCCCGCCCAGCAGACAAATCGAGGGCCCTGATTGGCCCACTAAGCCAATAGAGCGCTGTGGTTGGCCCACAAAGCAGATAGATCAGTTTGAAACCCCTATGAATATACCCCAGAGTGCTGCTGGTGGCTGCAGAGGTTCCCAAGGAGCGTTCCTAGTTCACTAGGCCAACGCCGTGCAGCTTTAAGGTCAGGTTAGTCGTGCCGTTTTTGCTGTTGTTGGATCCACTTTGCCAAACAAGATCTGGTTGAGTTATTGTTTCCTTCGTGTGTCTGCACTAGTTTGTTAAAACTCATCTTGTTTAGAAATTAAGTCGGTAGAAATGTTTCAAAATAAAAACGTTTACATGTTTAATTTTCAGAGCTTGTAAGTGAGGACAGCCATTCCTCGGTGACAACTGAGTCCAGTTTAAACCCAGAGAAACCAGCCTCTCAGCAGCTGGGAGGTCCAGCAGGCTCAGCACAACCTGCTCCAGCCTCTGAAACCTCTTTGGCCTCCATTCAGACCAGCCTTGAAGATTACACTCAGGACTTTACCTCAGAGTCACCGCCACCCGGCAGTAAAGTATGAAGAAGTGTTTTCTTTCATACTGTTTGTGTTGTCAGTTTGAACGTGACTTTTAGAGGGCTTCCTAATTCGCTAAATGTTTGTTGTGAAACAACCACAGGTGTTTTTAGCATTAATTTTTAACCGCAACATAAATAATGCATGCATTCCTCTGATCACGCTGTCTAACTCTGATGTAATTTCCTGTAGTAATAAATTTCTCTCTTTCCACCCTTGCTTCCTACTACTGTCTCTTCTTTAAAGTCATCTCTCCTCAAAGCCGGTTATAGCCCTGCTGCGTCTTCAGAAGGCAGCGGTACAACCAAGATGCAACTCCGTTCCACCTCCCAGACACCAAGTGAGGTTCTCCCTCAGCCTCTCGACTCCCCCACAGCCACGCAGTCTGGTGAGTTACCTTTGAGAGAAACGTTCACACTATTCAGTCAAGTTTGTCTCAAGGAGTGGTCGAAAGAGTTGACAGAATGCAGCTGGCACTTTGTAGTTGGGCATAAAGCGATTCTGCTAGAGATGCATTATGAAAGCACTTCACTGATCCTTAACCTGCTTAGCCATGGGCTAGGAAAGGCAAAAGCTGCATTGTACGTGCTTGTCCTTGTTTCGTTGCTGCATGTTCTATTCATTTCATTCACTTTTAAACCACAGTATAAACCCCTAACCTTGTTAACACTCAGTTCATTGTTGATAAAACTCTCCTTGTAAAGAAAATGTACAGTAATTCCCCCAAAAATGTGTCTGAGTGGGCTAATGTTGGATTAGCCTTTGCTAACATGGGTCAGGCACACACGAGCTGTAATTTATCACCTGAATTTTCCCACAGAGAACATTTCAGACCAGAGCGATATTGAGGGTCGTATCAAGGCACTGAAAGAAGAGCTCAGAAGACGGAAATTTATGGCCTACCAGCTGAAGAAGGAGCAGAAGAAACGTCACAAGGAGCGGCTGAAAGCTCAGGAGGCGAGTCTGTTGAAACAGCTCGAGGTAAGCATGGAAGTCTGGATTGTATTTGAACATAAATACACAATAGTCAAAAACATTTTCAATTTAAGATGTTCTCACAGCTTGTGGTTTGGTTTTCAGAACTATAACAACTTTATTGAGAAAACAAAGGCGGAACTAAGCGAGGAACTGGATTCCTCACCTGAAGCCAAGCCGCAAGTCAAAGATTTCAACTTGGTTTTGGAGCAGTCCTCTACTAAACCTCCTCTACACGGGTACTGAAGTGAACCTCAAACATGATGCTCAGACAACCTAATTAAAAATCATCATTTAAACCAAACACTTCTTTTTTAGGTCTGAAACCCAGAGAAGCTCTGACAGGACACTAGTCGATGCATCATTAGATCACAGTAAGTGATTTATATTTATCGTAGCTGTTATTAATCACATACATCATTTATAATATTTTAAAAGCATTGCCATGAAATATCCCAGTAATAATGCAGCTTTTCTGCTCTGATAGGTACCTCCCCTCAGCCTAACCACGTCAGATCTGCTTCTGAAACGCTCCCTGAAGACTCTTTAACTCCGGCTGACCAGAACAGACCAGAGCTTGCAACACCAGAGCAGAGGAGCCACCATTCAGACTCTATTTTAACTCCTTTGTCCAAGGTGGAGTCTGAGGATCAGAACATCATGTCTGAACTTGGATCTGAAATTCAGGAGGAGTTGGACGTGGAAGTAAGCTCCAGGTCCGCGGACGAACATTCTCACCATCTTCTTATAATTGATAAAGAACGCACACTTGATTCCCAGGAGAACCTTGCTACACCTGAACATGTTTCCCTGGCTTTAGATGAAGAACATGATGGTTTTACACCAGAGAAATTAGAGCAGAATGCACAAACGAAGCAAAGTAAAATATCTGAAGCAGAAGAAGCTTTTGCGCCAAACACTGACGCCTCTCCTGCTGTGGATCTGGAAGTTTCACCACATTCAAGAAACGCCTCTTCATCCAGTGAGCACCCCCACTCTCCTAAGTCAGTAGCTTCCTTTTCAAATAAGGAAGTGATCATGAAGGACAGTGATGTTTCTCTTACAGCGGATGGTTATCACTATGACTTTGAGTCGATGAGTTCTTCACCCACAGAAAAGCCTAAATCCAAACCTGAGTTGCATGACGACCACAATGATGTGGTAGAGGAAGACATACCAGAGGAGATGAGTCAGCGTTCTGATGTAAGTGAGCAAAGCAATCAGTCAGAGATGCTATTAGATCTCCACCAACACAAAGGAGATGAGGATGAAAAGGAGGCTTTTTCCAGCCAAGAGCCATCCATCACTCTTCAGCAGACGTCTCCTCTGGCTGTTAAAGATGAAATGCCAGGTTTTACCATCGGAGATCGAGTTCTTGTTGGGGGTTTTCAGTCTGGCACTCTCAGGTTCAAAGGGCCAACCCGTTTTGCCAATGGCTTCTGGGCAGGCGTGGAATTGGACCAATCAGAGGGCAGCAACAATGGCACGTATGATGGAGTGGTGTACTTCCAGTGTGAGGAGTGCCATGGCATCTTTGCTCCTCCAGACAAAATCGCACACCTTCCAGACAAGTTTGAACTCTATGCTGGTACCGTGGAGGACGAGGACTTGTTCTTTGAAGACTTGCCTAATAAAAGTGGGAATAAACAGAAAAAAGTGATTTCCCTAAAACAAGAAAATGTGGAAAACAATAATACGAAAGTGTATCCTAAAGATTGTGAGCATAGGGATACAAAGGTTACAGAGAAGGGCAATCAAGCTCCACGTAAGGAAAAATCCCACTTGAATTCCCAACTACCCAAAGAATTAACACATCTGATTTCTAATGGAAACACAGATGACATAAGTTTAGATTTAGGCAATACATCACATGCTTTAATCATCTCAGACATGGATGAAGGTGAGCTAGTGAAGCAGAACAACAAGGAGACAACCATCAGTGAGAGAAATCATTCAGATTCTCAGAAACCTTCAAGTCCTCCTGATTTTGCCCCAAAAATCAATGATAAAGAACAACAGAACAAAGATTTGCTCAACTCATTCTCAGATAAACTCATCCACAACTTTGTCAAAGACGCCGTTCAGCAGTTTGCTGACATCAAAAAAGTTAAAGAGCAGAAGATCAAAACTGCCAACGCTTTGAACGGAGACTTGTTTGGTGAAAATAACGAGGACGAAAGTTGGATCTTTTCTGTCAAACAAAAGGATGATCTGCCCTTTTTTTTACCAGTGGAAAAAGAAAAGCTGTCCTCTCCAGAGCTCTGTAACCAACCAGTGAGTGTTTCTCTCCTTCTTTGAAACATAACATTTACTTTCTTTTTGTTGGGTAACTAATAACTTGTAAGGATGCAGATTACATGTTCAGTCGTGACTTGAACTGTGAGAAAACAGCTGTGACATTATCAAGCCCTGGCAAATAGACTTTATGTAACCTGGGGGGTGTACAGCTAAAGTCCAACGTTATGTTGACAGACTATTGAATTTCTCAGTTACAGCTGAAAACTCCTCTATCCTTAACAGTAATAAGATAATAAATCTTCAAAGTATACAAGTATAAAATGGCTTTAGTTCTTGAAAATTGGAAATTCATGTATAAGTTTTTAGGAAATTCACAATTTATAACTGCCTGAAAATCATTATTTTTGTTTTGTTTAAATAGGAGAGCCCAGTTTTGGGAGCCAGTGGTCAGGAGGAGCTTGCTAAGCGTTTAGCAGAGCTTGAACTGAGCCGTGAGTTGGTGGATGATTTTGGTGATGATCAGGACTGGTTTGATGAGGACTTTGGCCTTAGTTCACGTAGAAAACAGCAAAAACAGAAAGAAGAGGAGGCAAAGCTGGGATGTGAACGTGGGAAGTCACCTGGACCACTCATGGGAGGGATTGTTTCATCACTAGGTGGAGAACCGCAGATGAAAACTCCACCTAGGCCTGAGCTGCCTCTCCCCTTGCCTCCCAAACTTCCTGAGCAGCCTGCCATGGTTGTGCCCCATTCAGCCAAAGAGGTGGAGAAAATGATCTATGCTGCCACACTGGAGATCTGGGAAGCCTACGACCTGGGGAGGGAGGGAGCTCCAACTCTTGAACATCTGCCAAACCCAACTCCTTCTTTGGATTATCTTGGGAAAGGATCTAACAACAAAGACCAGGACGCCATCTCCAGCCATAGTTACAGAAAGGTAACAAGTTGGGAAAGTCTCAGTAACAAAAATAGACAAACAGTACATGACTGTGTATCTGAATTTGCACTAAAATACAACAAAAATGTACTTTCTAATGTTTTAAACCCAGTTTCAGCTGCACCATTGTGTATATTTCATTTAAATAATTTACATTCAAGTGCTGTCGCACAGAAGATGCCAATGTCTTTTTCTCCTGTTCATTTTGAAGGCCGTGTTTGATCTAACGTGGGAGATACTTCAGGAGATCTACGCTGAAGATCCCAACACTGATCAGCCTCAGTGGGTCAAACCACGTCAAGCCAAGTCCTCCTCCATCCACAGAGTCAAGACGTCTGGAGATGTCAACACAGTCCAGGTGAAGTTCTGCAGAGAGAAAATAACCCACAGTGATGGTTTCTTAATGACTTCATTTAGACGCTTTAGAAGTTGCTCTTAAATTAATGACTATGTTTAAGCCCTGTTCACCCAACATGATAATCGTGTTGATTTGTGGCCTGAGTATCCCCTTTGTATGAAATAACACCATTATCTTTATTTTTTGTATCACTGAACAGGAATTTGTTACAGCAGAAGTCCTGAAGCTGTATGGCCTGACCCGAGATCAGAACCAGAAAAGTGACTGGCAGAAGATGCTCAAATTTGGCAGAAAGAAGCGGGACAGAGTCGATCACATTCTGGTAGGTATCAAGTTTAATCATGTTTAGGGTGTTTTTTGTGTGTTTTTCCCCAAACTGCAGCAGTTATCGTTGGAAAATAGCTAGTTTTTATTTTCAGAACATAATAGAAGTAAAAAAACGTCTATTCTGTTCTTCGTACACAAGCTTCTAGCTTGGCCTGTCAGACCCCTCTGTTTAATTCTGCACAGAGAAAGGGTCTGGGAACTCTCCTATTCAAATAACCCCACCCCTGAGAATTCTAACTCAGCCAATCAGCGCTGAGCAGCGTACATCACACACCACAACGCCGAGTTTGTCACAAACTCGAGACTGAAGCGGAGTTCACTGCGGCTCTTTCGTTTGTTCTAAATGACTTTGACACGTCTTTAAAACAACAAAAGGTAGAAGCACCAAAAGCCTTTCTTCTAAAGAAAGATGTTTGCGCTGTCGCCAGATGCCATTTTTGACTACAGCTAACAAACTACAGCGTTGCGCTGTAAAGTCGGTATTTCCATCTTTTTTCTGATTGGTTACTTTTTAGCTGGGTAGTCCCGCCCCTCAAGTGTCTCTCTGCCTGTGAGTTACCAGACTCGTTCTCTGTGCAGAATTAAACAGAGGACGAGTCTGGCAGGCCAGGCTGACAAGCTTCACCAGGTACAGTTGTGGTCAGAAGTTTACATACACTTGTAAAAAATATAATATAATGGCTCTACTGAGTGTCCCGTTATTTCTAAAACTTTGATTTTTCTCTGATAGAGTGATTGGAACAGATACTTCTTTGTCACAAAAAACATTCATGAAGTTTGGTTCTTTAATGTCTTTATTATGGGTTAACAGAGAAAAGTGATCACATTTGCTGGGTCACAAATATACATACTGCAGTGCTAATATTTGGTTCCATGTCCCTTAGCCATTTTCACTTCAATTAGGCGCTTTTGGTAGCCATCCACAAGCTTCTGGCAAGCTTCTGGTTGAATCTTTGACCACTCCTCTTGACACTCTAGATGTGACAGTAATTCTGTTGTTTTCCAGGTTCAGGAGCTCCACGAGGAAGAGGCCCAGTGGGTAAACTATGATGAGGATGAACTGTTTGTCAAGCTGCAGCTGGCAGACAGCATCTTTGATGCTTTGCTGAAGGACACAGCCGATGCCTTCACACTCATTTCTAATAAGAGAGCCAAAAGAGGCACGCTCTCTTGACCACATAGCATTTAGGACACTTGTTTTTTTTTTCTCACCTCCTTGAAATCCAAACAACCTTGTGCACCTTCGGACTCCACCAGCTCATTTTCCAGCAGCAACCCTCTGAGGCCTTCAGTTCCAGTGTTTCCTGTCTGTGACGTTCTTGTGCTGAATTTGCTTCAGCCAACTGTAGTCTTGGTTAAATTGTTTGACACACAAAACACCTCTGAAGTGATCCAGCCTTTCTAAACCTGGACACCTTCTAGTCTCAGATCTCACCTCCTGGGCCTGGTCCTTGAGTTGAGTGTGCTGATGGGACGGACTGAGCAGTCAGTAAGCATGAGAGAGTCCATAATTGCTGCTAAGCTTATTACTCCACTGTGGACATTAATATAACATCCACTCAGAACAGCAATATACTGTTAAATTTGAAGTCTTACAAAGAGGCTGAAACAAAAGTAGCAATGACTACATAGTGCAATTCATGTTTTTAATGGTAAAATTTGGGATTTCATGTCCATATTCGGTGGCAATCACAGCCTTTTCTATTCACCATCCTTTTATTTGATCTGAGCTGACAGATTTGTGTCTGCAACAGCAGCACACCACGTGCTGAAGGTAAATAAATGAACATTTTGGCTCTAAAGTCTTATTTGTTTTCACCAAGATGCTAATTGGCATTAGTGTTTTGCTACATTGGAGGTGTGTTAGAAACATCCCAACGAAGGTCACTCAATGTGAACATGAAACCCTTCCTTTGTTATTGATTACAGATATGGTGAGACTGCACTGTGGGGATACGTGGAACTTTTTTCATCCTTAAATTATTTATTGTTGGAAAGTGTTGGATGAAAGGAGCTTTCTGAATTGTAAACGATCTCATCAACAAATTGAAACGATATTCTTTAACCCTTGTGTTGAGAAAATCTAAAATCATTGATAAAGCACAAATCTTAATGTGAATATAACAATACCTTATGTGGGAGAAATCAGAGAAAGGAGAAAATGTTCAGTGTTTTAAGTTTTAAAATTAATCGTTATCTGAGATTGTTTGTGCAACGCTATTTTTGGCCACAATTGTCTATAGGTGGTCAATGCAATCACTGCGTCCCACTTCTGTGTTGTAACCAACTACACTTATAGGTGGATAGGAAATAACCTGAAATCACATCAAATTGAGCAAATGTTTAGGTTTTTAAGAGTTTGGGTGACAGTGTAGTGGTGAAGTATGGAAGTGGGACACAGAAGGCTTGGTAAAAGACTTGACTTGATGTATATATGTTATAAATGAAACCGTATTGAAATGCTGGGTTTGAGCCTCTCTGGAGCTAAAGTTCATTTGTTTTCTCAGACCATAGAATCCATGTGTTTCTGTATCACTGTGGTAGGGGTCTGTAGCAGAGCGTTTGTGCAGAAACTCGACCGTTTTGGAGCAGCACAGTTGCATGCTCTATCTGTTGTGGAACATTGTGCTTTACATCAATCAGCAAGCTGAAACAAGCCTTATAACTCACCCCAACAGTGTACTCTTAACGGTAGTTCCTGTCCATGTTCCATTTAAGTGCCTCTTTAAGTTCCACTTCACTTATTAGTAATTATGTTGGATCTCTCAACATCTTTCGGACCTGTTTCTTTGGTTTCTGCTGTAAATAACCTACAAATCGCTGCTCTTTCTTCTTGCCAGCCCTTCAGTTCTCTGCCTTATCTCTCTTTTTCATGCCTTTACCGTAACAATATAGTGAAGGTTTTCCAAACCCTCCCACGCCTCAGCGAGAGGAAGTGTTTGACCAAAACAAGACTAAACATTACCTGCTGTTTATAAAGTCTACTGTACGCATGTGGACACAGGTTATGATTATATTAATGTACTTTGAGGAGCTAGTTTCTGGACAGAGCACACGCAGGAGTGGCTCCAGCCTGCCGGTTGGACCGTGTGAGTCATTGAGCAGGTGTAGCTGAGCACGTATCTAAGGGCTTATTTACATCCACTGTCACTGCTGCTTTGATCCAACTAAACTTGTAGAAACGCTACGGTGAGCTCGCTGCTCCTCAGCGACTGTTTTCAAACAAAAGTGACCTTAAACTCTATTTTTCTTCTTCTGCCAATGTTGTAACTGTTTCTAAGGTGTTCAGAAAAACATTTGATACCGATATCTTCATGCTGTAGGACTTGTAAGTCTGGTCTAAAGGCACATGCAACTTTAGTGGCGACGTGATTCGTATTTTAGAACGATTTTCTGCAAAGCTTTATTGAAAAATCCAAGTATTGTCCTTTAAATTGATTGTAAGTGGGATGAAGTAGAGTCTTCCTTCTGTAACTATGCAGTACCTGCTCGTCCTCAATGTTTTAATGTGCAGGCTGAACAGCTTTAGCCTCTGCTGTAGTTAAAGAAATTGTCTCTTAGCTCTGAGCTGTTCGCTGTAGATCCACTGATCTAAGGTCAGCTTTCTTTATAAGGCAATAGAATAGTAAAATATTTGGCTTAATTAGGAAACCATATTAATATTGATACAAATTATTTATCAAATAGATCACCCCATTCTGAAAGATTTTGACTATTTAATAATAATGTCCAGTTGTTTATTTCTCTAATGGGTGTAAATATGCTGTCTGTCCAGTTTGACCCTCTTGTTACTGTAACCATGAAGATGTAAAATAAACATTGTTTACTTTGCAAATATGTACATAGTATATATTTGTTAACTAAATGGAATTTGAAACTGTAAATAAAGTTGTTTGTACAGGAAGGTGTGCTCTTCTCCTGGTTTTAAATGTGGGGTAGAAATGCGTGTAAAAATTCACCACAAGTTGTTTTAGTGTCTGCAGCCAAACCAGGAAGTCTCGCCTCATGTTTGGTTTTTAGAACTAAACTCAGATGTTGCGGTTTGTCTGTTGATGTGTGAAAAGGGTGCATGAATGTGGCCGTGAGAGGGTTGTGTTTAAGAGGGCTACGTTTGTGTCAAATCATTTATGTCTGAATGTTCAAAGTTAATTTGTCTATAGGAAGTAAGCTGACATCAGCATCAAAGACAGCAGTACTGAAACATTTTAGATTTATATCTTAAATTGATTGTATCTCATTGAAGGTATTCTGTCTTACAAATGTCACATTTCCACACATGCTAACCCAAGGAACTGATGTATGAATCACAGATTATGTTTACCGTAATTTCCAGACTATAGAGCGCACCTCAATATAAGCCACACCGGGCTAAAAGCCGCAGATATCCACTGAATTGAAAACGTTTAACTGAACTGATCAGTATCAAACAAAACAGAGAAGTTATTGATTAGTTTATTCATCGTCCTGCGCACTGAAACCACTGAAGTCATCTTCAGTGTCGGAGTTGAACAGCCTCATAAGAGTTTCGTCACATACCTTTTCTGTGGCGATGTCAGTGTCGCTCTCCGTGTTGCTGTCATCATCCCGATGGTGAAGCTGGGAAAAGAAGCAGCACCGTTTTACTGTGAAAAAAATCCTCCTGGGCGCTTTCACTTAGCACTCCTTTAACCATTCCTTCATTAGACTTTCCAGCATCCATCCTTTCTGGTTGACTAAAGCCGCACCTCATTATAAGCCGCATGGTTCAAAGCGTGGGAAAAAGTAGTGGCTTAGTCCAGAAAATACGGTACATCATCTTTTCCTGGTTTTTCCTTGCAGCTAGCTTTAGGAGGACTGCTGCAGATGTTCCTGAGTTTTTCTACATTTTATAAATTGATGAGTCTAGACTAGAGATTCATAAACTTTAGCTAATACTCATTTTGGTTTAGAAAGCAGATAACCAAATACTGTGCACTTATTTTCAGCCTCTCTTTGTTCTCATTTTTAAAAGTAAGCTGCTGGCAAATGTTTTTTAGAGGGTACATATGAAAACCTCATCTTTTGCATCTACAGTATTTGTGCTGCCATCTCTACTGCCTCTGTAAACATTCAAAACAAGAAGATAAATAAATCCGTCTTCTGTCTTGGTATTAGTTTCTGTAGGTTTTAGGAATTATGTGCCTTGTGGGCGATGGTGGCACAGGAGTTTAATGCTCGCCCTGTAATCGGAAGGTTACAGGTTCGAGCCCTGCTCAGTCTGTTGATGTTGTGTCCTTGGGCAAGACACTGAACCAACCTTTCCTGCTGGTGGTGGTCGGAGGGACCAATGGTGCCTGTGTACGGCAGACTCCCATCTGTCAGTGTGCCCCAGGGCAGCTGTGGCTAGAATGTAGCTCATCTCCACCAGGGTGTGAATGGGTGAATGACTGATTGTATTGTACATCATCTTGGGGGGTTCCAGGACTCTATGAGGGGCTATATCAAATACAGGCCATTTACCATTAAAACAAACCATTTAAAAAGCAGACCCCCCAATGTGCCAGAGACAGCTGTCCCAGGAGGAGCAGCGGCTCTACTCTGAGCCCCTCTCGGATATTTGAGTGTCTCAGCTTATAGCAGCCTGAGTGGGGATGGGTGGGCATAGCCTGCTCCAGCTTGTTTTCTTAAAGCAAGTGTGTAATATTTTTCCTTGTTTGCCATCTAATTCTGTGTATCACATTCACAAATTTGTTCTTTTTCACTAATTTTTCTCATTATAATATTAGCCATCAAAGTCTGACTGTTGTATTTCAATACATATAGTCAGATCCATAAACATTGGGACATCGACACAATGCTAACATTTTTGGCTCTATACACCACCACAATGGATATCAAATGAAACGAACAAGATGTGCTTTAAATGCAGATTGTCAGCTTTTATTTGAGGGTTTTTACATCCAAATCAGGTGAACGGTGTAGGAATCACAACAGTTTGCATATGTGCCTCCCACTAGTTAAGGGACCAAAAGTAATGGGACAGAATAAGAACCATAAATCAAACTTATACATTTCAATACTTGGTTGCAAATCCTTTGCAGTCAATTACAGCCTGAAGTCTGGAACACAGACATCACCAGACGTTGGGTTTCATCCCTGGTGATGCTCTGCCAGACCTCTACTGCAACAGTCTTCAGTTCCTGCTTGTTCCTGGGGCATTTTCCCTTCAGTTTTGTCTTCAGCACGTGAATGCATGCTCAATTGGATTCAGGTCAGGTGATTGACTAGGCCATTGCAAACCAATCCACTACTTTCCCTTCAAAAACCCATTGGTTGCTTTTGCAGTATGCTTTGGGTCATTGTCCATCTGCACTGTGAAGCGCCGTCCAATGAGTTCTGAGGCATTTGGCTGAATATGAGCAGATAATATTGCCCGAAACACTTCAGAATTCATCGTGCTGCTTTTGTCAGCAGTCACATCATCAATAAATACAAGAGAACCAGTTCCACTGGCAGCCATACATGCCCACGCCATGACACTTCCAGCACCATGCTTCACTGATGAGGTGGTATGCTTAGGATCATGAGCAGTTCCTTTTTGTCTCCATGCTCTTCTCTTCCCATCACTCTGGTACAAGTTGATCTTGGTCTCATCTGTCCATACGATGTTGTTCCAGAACTGTGAAGGCTTTTTTAGATGTTGTTTGGCAAACTCTAATCTGGCCTTCCTGTTTTTGGGGCTCACCAATGGTTTAGATCTTGTGGTGAACCCTCTGTATTCACACTGGTGGAGTCTTCTCTTGATTGTTGACTTTGACACAGATACACCTACCTCCTGGAGAGTGTTCTTGATCTGGCCAACTGTTGTGAAGGGTGTTTTCTTCACCAGGGAAAGGATTCTTCAGTCATCCACCACAGTTGTTTTCTGTGGTTTTCCGGGTCTTTTGGTGTTGCTGAGCTCACCGGTGTGTTCCTTCTTTTTGAGAATGTTCCAAACTGTTGTTTTGGCCACGCCTAATGTTTTTGCTATCACACTGATAGGTTTCTTTTGTTTTTGCAGCCTAATGATGGCTTGCTTCACTGATAGTGACAGCTCTTTGGCTCTCATCTTGACAGTTGACAACAACAGATTCCAAATGCAAATAGCACACTTGAAATGAACTCTGGACCTTTTATCTGCTCATTGTAATTGGGATAATGAGGGAATAACACACACCTGGCCATGGAACAGCTGAGAAGCCAATTGTCCCATTACTTTTGGTCCCTTAACAAGTGGGAGGCACATATGCAAACTGTTGTAATTCCTACACCGTTCACCTGATTTGGATGCAGTGGCGGCTCCAGAAATTATTTTTTGCAGGTGCTATGAAGGAAGTGGTCATGCGTACCGATTGTTCTCTAAAACACCTTCAACACTAGCAAATACACATGCGTGCACAAAACCTCAACAACACCTGAAACAATCATTAATATACATCATAAACATATGAACAATCGCTGACTTTTCCATGAAATCATAAACACATACAGCCACACAGAAAACCATCTATCCAGGGAGTGCAGAATTATTAGGCAAGTTGTATTTTTGAGGAATAATTTTATTGTTGAACAACAACCATGTTCTCAATGAACCCAAAAAAACTCATTAATATCAAAGCTGAATGTTTTTGGAAGTAGTTTTTAGTTTTAGCTATTTTAGGGGGATATCTGTGTGTGCATGTGACTATTACTGTGCATAATTATTAGGCAACTTAACAAAAAACAAATATACCCATTTCAATTATTTATTTTTTACCAGTGAAACCAATATAACATCTCCACATTCCCAAATATACATTTCTGACATTCAAAAACAAATCAGCGACCAATATAGCCACCTTTCTTTGCAAGGACACTCAAAAGCCTGCCATCCACAGATTCTGTCAGTGTTTTGATCTGTTCACCATCAACATTGCATGCAGCAGCAACCACAGCCTCCCAGACACTGTTCAGAGAGGTGTACCGTTTTCCCTCCTTGTAAATCTCACATTTGATGATGGACCACAGGTTCTCAATGGGGTTCAGATCAGGTGAACAAGGAGGCCATGTCATTAGTTTTTCTTCTTTTATACCCTTTCTTGCCAGCCACGCTGTGGAGTACTTGGACACGTGTGATGGAGCATTGTCCTGCATGAAAATCATGTTTTTTCTTGAAGGATGCAGACTTCTAAATGTACCGCTGCTTGAAGAAGGTGTCTTCCAGAAACTGGCAGTAGGACTGGGAGTTGAGCTTGACTCCATCCTCAACCCGAAAAGGCCCCACAAGCTCATTTTTGATGATACTAGCCCAAACCAGTACTCCTCCTCCACCTTGCTGGCCTCTGAGTCGGACTGGAGCTCTCTGCCCTTTACCAATCCAGCCATGGGCCCATCCATCTGGCCCATCAAGACTCACTCTCATTTCATCAGTCCATCAAACCTTAGAAAAATCAGTCTTGAGACATTTCTTGGCCCAGTCTTGACGTTTCAGCTTGTGTGTCTTGTTCAGTGGTGGTCGTCTTTCAGCCTTTCTTACCTTGGCCATGTCTCTGAGTATTGCACACCTTGTGCTTTTGGGCACTCCAGTGATGTTGCAGCTCTGAAATATGGCCAGACTGGTGGCAAGCGGCATCTTGGCAGCTGCTCGCTTGACTTTTCTCAGTTCATGGGCAGTTATTTTGTGCCTTGGTTTTTCCACACGCTTCTTGCGACCCTGTTGACTATTTTGAATGAAACGCTTGATTGTTTGATGATCACGCTTCAGAAGCTTTGCAATTTTAAGACTGCTGCATTCCTCTGCAAGATATCTCCCTTTTTTTGACCTTTCTGAGCCTGTCAAGTCCTTCTTTTGACCCATTTTGCCAAAGGAAAGGAAGTTGCCTAATAATTATGCACACCTGATATAGGGTGTTGATGTCATTAGACCACACCCCTTCTCATTACAGAGATGCACATCACCTAATATGCTTAATTGGTAGTAGGCTTTCCAGCCTATACCGCTTGGAGTAAGACAACATGCATGAAGAGGATGATGTGGACACAATACTCATTTGCCTAATAATTCTGCACTCCCTGTAGCGTTGCAAGGTTAGCTGGTTCTGGTTCTCTGTGTGGCAGCATTCTTGGTTTGGGGAAATTCTGCTCCTTCTCCCTGAGTAGCTTGCCCATCTCTAACTTGATCGCTGGATTGAAGACTGAAAGTCATTTTTAACTGTGGCGGTGCGCACACGACCACAAGGGGCAGGGAGACGAGAGATGCAGCAGGCGTGTTTGACGTGGCAGCAGCTGCAAATGATCAGACCCACTATACATATATTCACACACGGACAGAGAGCTCTCTGGTCCCTGAGAGAGACGCTAACGGGTAGCAGAAATGGTAACATGCAGACAGTTGAAAGCTGGTGTGTGGTGCTTTCACGTTGCCTTTTTGATGCGTGTGGGCAACTGTGGCTGCAACACCTGCTCTGAACTGTGTGGTGCTAAGGAGTTGAACACTCCAGGCTTTAAGTGACAGAGGCCCGAAAGGGCTCATTCAGGAAGGTACTGAAACTGAAGCAAAGCTGCTGAAATAGAGGGATTTAAGAACTTCATGAGCATGTTTGTATTGGCCACAGGACTAAAAAAGTCATGCAGGTTAGACAGACAGAAATACTTTGAGTCTAAATATTCAAACAAGTTTAGATTTTAGTTGCATTTAGCTTTAAAGCTGTTTTTTCCTTATTTTCTGAAACACAGTTATCAAACATGTATGCGTATAAAACCATGACAAGTGACGGGGAAAGATCAAATAATCAACAAAAAGGAATATAGCGTTTTATTTCAATAGTATTTTTGGATGAGAAGTTCAGAGACGCATCAGACAGATGCTGTAAAACAGCGTTAACGTTGTTTCCTGCTTTATTTTACGTCTCTGATTATTCTGACTGAAGCGACCTGCAGGAACCTCTCAGCGTTTGGGGTATTTAGCTCTCCGGTGGGAGGATCCTCGGAGCCTGCTGACCGTCAAACCAGGAGGAGGGAATTAAAAGTTGTGAAGTTTCTGACAGGCAGCCAGAGAGTCACGGTAAGCGGCTCTGAGGAGGAAGATGGCGCGGCGCTGCGCCACGTCTCGGTGGTTCACCGACATTTATCCCGTCTTCTTGTGTTTGTGGCTCTATGTTCCGTGCCCCGCGGAGACCGGACTGTACACCGCCTCCGACCAGATCTTGTTGTTGTCTCGGGAGAACGTGGACTCGGTTCTGGTGAACTCCACCGCTGCGATGGTTGTGGAGTTTTACGCGTCGTGGTGCGGACACTGCGTCGCCTTCTCTCCGTTTTACAAAAAGCTGGCCAGAGATACCAAAGGTCGGTATGGATCTGATTCTGCAGGCCGAGTTGACCTGAAACCTTCAAAAACCTCCTGTCCGACTTCCTTTCTGCTGCTTGTACAGCTGTGAAAAACAACAATCATGTTTTTTTTAAGGGAAAACAGTTTTTTTACTAACATACTTTATACCCGATGGTCCATTTTTAATGGACAAGTTAAAAGTTTTGTGAGATTAAATTTTTTAATCTACTTTCTCTCGCTTCATAAGATAAACCAGTTAAATGGTCTCACGTGTTTCTAGAATTTCCATCACTCATTTTAGCTCTTAAAATATTTCAAAGTGCCTCATTTCTGGCTGAACAGCAGGAAGTTCCAAGTTTTTAACTCTTCCTACTTTATTTTTAAACACTAAGCATTTTAAAATGTTTTGAAGCTTCCTTCATTCTTAACTTTTTTGGGAGTTGTTTTGAAAAGACAAGCCATCAAAAGGTCTGAATTGTCCTTTTTTTTTGTCTGCCTGGGGCCACAGCAGGCTGCTGTTCCTGTCTGTTAATTAGAGCATGTAATCTAATAAAAAGCTTCTTATTACCCCTCATCATTGAGATGCTCCATCGGCATCCTCTCTGGGCTTCTTCTGCAGCTCCTAACTGAATATGATGGTAAATATAGGAGCAGGGTCAGTGTGCACCTCTTATTTTCCACTTCATTCCAGCAACCAAATTGCATCTCATTGTTAAATAATCACTTGGAGGAAGAATAATTACAGAACATTATGAGCAGTTACATGCACATGTGAATTTTCATTTGTCAATTGCACCAAATCAGCCGTGAAGTCATATTGGTGAAATTCATCACCGACTTCTTGTGACTGTATGTAGAATTTAATTAGCAGGGAAAAGAAAGAGATAAGGCAGCTAGACCTCTGTGTTGACACACACACACACACACACACACACACACACACACACACACACACAGCGTGAGCAAAGCACACAGTGCACACTGACAGTACACTAAATATTAACTTTTGTTAACCCTGATGTCTGCTCTCCAGAGTGGAAGCCGGCGGTGAACATAGCAGCTATAGACTGTGCTCCAGAGGAAAACAGGGAGGTCTGCAGGGACTTCAGAATCACAGGGTACCCCACTATAAAGGTAATAAAACACATACAAACTTCAAGCTTGTGAATATTTTTTAATCATGTTATTTAACTCACTCAATTATTCAGAAAGACTTTACTAAAAGGGTCTCCACCTCAGGTTCTGGACATTTTACATTTAAGATGCACATTTATTACAAAAACACAGAAAAACATTCTTTATTCTGATCATTGATAGTTTTTAAAATAAACTGTGCATTTTTTCCTCTTGTATTGCAAAATAATTTCTTCCATTTTTTTCAGTTATTTATCTCTGTTAAGTAATGCTAAATACACAGAGATGCACAACGATAGTAAAAATACATAAACTATATCGAAGAGCATCAAAGATTCTCTCAGAGTAACGGATGAGACAAAACCGAGAGAGACGCTACAAAAGAGAAGTGTTTATAAAACGTACTAAGTGTTAAGTTCTGGTCTAAATAGCCAAACCTTTAAAAGAGGAAGAAGAGAGAATGTGTGTGAATGCATCTGTTGTTGAATCAAAGCAGTTTTATGTGCATGATGATGAGTGCTTAGGGAAACGAGACAAATGCATTTGAATGCTAGCATTTATATACGACAAGCTAAGTGGTCAGTTTGAACTATCTGCCACATGTAAATAAATACCCCCAGGTGAGTCTTGTTTTATTAAACTAATTAAAAAGCTCCATTCTAAATGTTTTACAGTTCTGTGTTGAACGACTTTTTTTACAACACGCATGACTCAAAATTAGCAAACATCATTCAAGCATAAATCATTTACAGTTTATAATTCGACAAAACAATTGGTTTTATTCCAGAAAATTGGTGCATAAACTTCAATCCATAAGCTACAAAGCTTGTGCTTTAGTTATTAGGAGTTTGTGCTGATTCTCACCTTTCTGAGGAATAAAGTCACGAGTCATTTTACACCATAGTGTTTGGGACTGCTTGTTAGAATAAAGTGTCTAAATTTTCAACTTTCAGATCAAATCCGATTGTGTTTAGTTCACATTTGAGTGATCAACAGCTCCAGCACAGAAACATTCCCTCTTCAAGTATATTCATTTGTTTTTTGCATCATGCTGAATTAGTCAGCCACAGCGTGTCGAAGCCTCTGCACTCGGTCAAACAAAGCGCTCCTTCTGTTTGAGTGCACATCATGGCTCCTAACATCTGTGACTCATTTCAAGCAGGAAGGATTTAGAAGTCAAGGTGGGCCGAGTGAACCCCCTCCACTCGTTCTTAACTTTCACAACTTGGTCTGCATCTCATGAGAGGATTGTTTAATCTGCTCTCACCTCTTGTTCTTTTTTTTACACCAAACCCTCCTTGTTTTTTATATTACAGTTTTTCCACGCCTACTCTGAAGCTGGTTCTCTAGGAGTAGCTTATCCAGGTATTTCTACACCGAACCAAATCATAATGCCATGGTTTTATGTACTCACAGATTTCAGCAGCATTTATCTTCAAAACTGCAGAATCTGATCTTTTCACGGGAGAAATATCTGTAGTAATTATTATTAAAGCCAAAGTGGTGTTTAAAGTGGGCTTCCGTAGAAAGAACCTTAACATTTAATATCTTTGGTCGATAGCTTTTTGAATGGCCTCAACTAGGAGAAACAGTTTTGATTGATTGATGAGCTAACAGCTAGTCACTGCTTACAAGCAGAAAGAGAAAACGGAGTTATTGATGTAGCGTTGTTAATCTACATAACTAGAATTTAAGCTGTTGCTATTCAGCTTTGTTAAATTCAGAGAAACATCAAATGAATTGGTAATGAACATATATATATATATATATATATATATCAGGGTGTCCGCGGGGTTTTAAAAAGTATTAAAAAGTGATAAATAAAAATAGTCAAATTTAAGGCCATTAAAAGTGTTAAATTTGGTCTCAGAGGTATTATTTTTTGAAAGTTAGGTATTATTTTTTTTCAGACTATCAGGTGTCGTATTCTGAACATCGACATAGAAATATATTCCGAATGAAATGTTTTGAACGATTATAAAAATAAAACAAGCCGATTATTTGCTCCTCCCACTTGAGCTGCCCTGAGTTACAAATGAAGCGATCCGTTGCCAACTTAGCGACTTTGACGCTATTTCTAACAGCTTCTCAGACCTCCTTCTTGACTTTTTAAATCTTAAAAGTACCTAGCAAACACCTCAGAAACATCTCTGGTAACCCTTAGCTACTTTCTGGATAACTGTCGTCGACATTTCCTGCTGCAGGTTAGCTAAACACTCCGCCTGCGCTCCGGACCGTTCTTCAGGACATTAGGAAAGGGAATGATGTAGTGATGTGTCGGTCGCTAAAGAAACGGCTCTCAGAGTCGGCTCCCTGTTGGAGTAACCAGAGTGAGTGACACACACCGTACCTGCGGACTCCTGAGCCGATAAAAACGGCTAAATGTGCGCGTGCTGCGCGCTAAACACACGTGCAGCTTGCTCCTGATTGCTGTGAGACCGGGTTGGGGGGTGGGGGGTGCAGCTGTGGTTGGGACAATTATTACATTAACTGATGGACTTGTAAATAAATAGTTTATAAATAAGGTAGAAATAAGTTCCTCACGCTGATAACTAATAACTAATCTCTCTGAGGACACGGTGCTAGTGCACTCTCCTACAGCACATTGACATGACTAAATAAATGCTATGCAACATTTTGTGAACATCAATTTGTTTGCATGTATTTGTTATAAATGCCACTGTATAATTCTTGCTGTCAGTATTTGCAAGATATTGGTATTTGGGTCTGTACTGGTTAGACTTAAATGAGTTAAACCAAGGTCTATAGCCCTTGGGTCATAGACTATGAGCTATAAGTATATTTGTCTTTTTATACTGGGAATCAGGAGTTATTTTAGTGATCATCTTGTTTCTTGTTTATTTTTGCCCTGATTGTGCCCTGAGCAGTTTTATGACTGAATAAAAATAAATAAAAAAAAATCTACATGAATTGAAAAATCGTCTTAAATAATCGAGATCTCAATTTCAGTCACAATAATCGTGATTATTGTTTTTGCCATAATCGAGCAGCCCTACTTTAGCATATCCGGTCACATTATGATGACGTCATATTCAGTGGTCGTTGTGCATCATTTCAGGCCTCGTGGTCAACTGTCTGAACCGCTGAACATAAGTGCCTGGCTTATTTTCTAAGTAAAATAAATACTGTATGTGCAATACATTGTCAACATCAGTGAGTCTCTAAGTCTATTCTTTTTGTATGTTATATATGTTAAAATATGTGTAAATAGGTCGCTGATTAACACTTGCAATCAGAGGCGGAGCTGGCCTAAATGGCGCCCTGTGCGAGATCCCCCTGTGACGCTCCCCCCCCTCCCTTCACACACACACACACACACACACACACACACACACACACACACACACACACACACACACACACACACACACACACACACACACACACACACACACACACACACACAACTTTGTTTCAAATTGTGTGGAGTGTATATATAACGTTTGCTAACTGAACACAACATCCAGCTCCTGGCCACCTTCTCACCACTTGTCAAAGTTCTACTGAAATAGACACACTTAACGCAACATGATGGTATCATCGACTTGTACAGTACAGATGTGCTGAAAGGCAAGAGTCTCAACTTTCAGCTAAAAAAAGACCGCTCTAGCTATTATAGTTTTTATTTTATGGCAGTTTACAGTTTAAACGGGATCATACTAGCAGGGCACTTCCAGCGGCCCGCTGCCGCTCCGTTTTTCATGGGGTAAATAATAGCTCATTTCCCGATTCCAAAAAGAAAGAATGGTCCTACCAGCTCGCCACTTCAATATGAAGATCAGTTCAACATGGGGAAAAAAACCTGACCTGTAGGCCAGAGAAACGTTCATTAACACATCATGTTCTATTCAGTTTACCGGTAAACATATCATGAATGTACAACAGGTCAATTATTAATCATCTTGGCTACGTAGCTCAATCTATGCATTCCAGTAGCATTTGCTACAAACAAATACAAAAACAACAATAAAGGAAAACAACTGTCTGACAGACAGCATAGCCGAATTCAAGGCAACACATAACAATAATCATTTGATTGCTCTTGGTTTCAAGTTAAGCCCACTAAAGTGCTTAAGTAAATAAAAGTGTTTCAAAAACAGCGTTTTTGAACCGGAGTTCTGCTCGCGGTGGGAACTCCGCCGAACAAGGTCATTTTTATAGCGAAAACGATCGACTGGTCACTGACAAGTAAAAGGGTGTTATTGGTAGATGTTAAGAACACTTACCGCTGAGGTAAAATGAGAGTATAAATGAATTGAGGGGAGAAAAACGCTTTGTTTTCCAACGCCGTTCTACAAGCAACAAGCTTACAGCCACGGCAGGAGCAGCTTTCATGTTTGCCGCGACGTGGAAGGAGCCAATCAGGAGAGGGACCTCACATCAGCTGACGTGGGTCATGTGACAGGGAGTAGTTGATATGGGTTACGCTTTGTTGTGCTTTTATTACAGAAATATTATTATTATCATCACTATTATTATTAAGAACATGCGATTTCTATGTTTTGTTTATGTATTGGTTGATGCTAAAAAAAATATTTTTTTAGAAAAAAAAGAAGAAAAAAGGAAATTAAATGCCGCCCCCTGCAGACTGCCGCCCTGTTCGGCCGCACATGTTGCACATATCAAGCTCCGCCACTGCTTGCAATTTAGTGTTGTGATGGTTTTAAAAAAATTCTGAAGGTAGTAAAAAAAAGTATTAAAAAGTAGTAAATTTTACTTAAGGATTGCTGTATATACCCTGTATATATATATATATATATATATATATATATATATATATATATATATATATATATATATATATATATATATATATATATATACATATCTCCACGGATATTTATATAATCGATAGAAGTTCATACACCAACTGGCTTGGTCTATATTTAATCAAAAGATTCATATTTAATTTAAAAGATTTAAATTAATAGCAAACGTTTTTTTTAATTCAGAAGATCTAAAGAGATCTTTGCTCGTTCAATGACCAAATATACACCACTCTGTGTTTTATTCAAAGAAGAGTCAGGTTTAAAAATAAAGTTAAGAATTTATTACTAACAATTTAAAGATGACAATTTCAAAGACAATTCATAAATGACAATTTATAAAAGCTTTGGTATTAAAACTTGGTATTAAAGCAATCCGTGTCTGGATGAAACTAAAAATGAAGTCTGTGTGTTTGGATGTGTGAATGCAGGTCTCAGAAGGTTTTATCTTAGAGAGAGAAAAACGTGTTCTGGGTGAAAGAATTTGGTTTGCAGTTAAGCTAAATTATTTCTTAAAAGAACAGGCATTCAGACGCAATCTGTGTTCTACCTCACCGTTCAGACGACCCTCTGTTCGGATCCGGAGGTCAAGGGAGGACGTTGATCAGCCTTTGGGTACTCGGTCCGGTAGGGTAGACCAGTGGTACTGACTCTCTGGCCCTAGAGTTGCCGCAGGTACACAGGAGGATGGATTGCGTCTTAAAATTAACTCTGAAGGAGTTTTGCATCAGCTTGTTGCAGATGGTGTTTCTGTTGAAGCATTTCTATCGACGTGGCCGAAAAGCTTTAGTAGAGGTTTCGAGCGGCCGACCCGATCCTCTGGACTCTCGTTGCCACGGAGAGAATTTTGGTGAGCTCAAGTAGGTTTTAAGAGACGGACGGTAATCTTATTCTAACGAATTAGATTTTTGACATGTTAGAGGGTGGGACTTAACATACCTCGGAACACGCCCTCCCAAGATAGAAAGCTCTGGTGTTACGGAACAAAGACATGTGAGTGCAGTTACCTTTAACCTGATTTACTGTGTCCTGCATGGTGTGTATAAGTGCACATGATCTTCTTGTCACTGTTAAACATTACGGATTATCATAAATAATAATTATTATTAACCAAATAATTTATTTCAGTAATTAAATACATTTCTAATGAACCTTGATTATTTATGAACATTGTAATAGACAGTGAAAAGAGTTTATTAAAAATGATGCTTTTAAATCTTGAAGTGTCCTTCGTCTTGGGGATGGAACAGCGGTCAGATAAAGACAGTCAGATTAAAGATGGTTTATAGCAGACTTTGCGTCTCCTGTGATGGATAATCTGTAGATAGAAGTACAGCCAGGACAGCTTGACCCAGCTGAGGAAGTGTGACCCTTGGGTCACAAATGAGGCCATTCATGTCGCTACATTGACTTAGTCCAACTAAAATTGAACTTTTAAAATGCACGTATGCACCTAGCCCAGCCTTTCCACCGAACACATAAGTCACCGTATGTTCGTGATTTCCTTTAGCTCCCTCAAACAAGCGAAGGCCTAATGTTGACACTGGTTTTAGTTTGTTGTTTCACCTCCAAAGACAC